GGAGAGAGGGAGAAAAAGCCAGCTAGGATAGCTGAAGGAGAGAGAACTATTGTGTTTATTGGAAAATCTATTTTGTTTTCTTTGAAAATGGTAAGTGGGAAAGCCACCCAATTACAGATAGTTATTTCTGTCTAGTAAGAGCTCAAGTAAGAGCAAGGAATGTTTTTATTTTTATTTAAAGCACCTGTTTTCTCATCAAATAAAAAGGAAAACTGAACTGGATGTGTCCTGGACTTTGCATACCCTAGAAGGCTGTGGTTACTGTTAGATCTGTGACAAAATCCTACCTGTATTAGATGTGGTTTGTAAATATATATATATATATATATATATATATATATATATATATAATTTCTTTTAATGCAATTTATTTTATTTTGATATTATCAAAATACACTTAGAATAAAATGTTATATATATATATATATATATATATATGTGTGTGTGTGTGCGTGTGTATATATATATATATATATATATATATATATTTGTGCTCGGAATTTAATACGTAATGGATATTATCTGTAAGGACAAAGTTGGTAGTGGTGTGCCGAAACCAACGTACGAGTGGGCCTGTAAATAAAAGAGGGCCCACCAAGGGCTCTCAAAACTCTCCCATCTTGTTCTTGCCTTGGTGCATCTTCCAGTTTTTAACATATCGCTGCACTCCAGAGGGCTTCGTAATAAGTGTCAATATTCTTTATTGTTTTAAATCACACTTGTACAATCATCAACGTTTCAGTCCATATACCAGGACTTTTTTTCATGATACATCATGTTAGACATATATGTATCTTTCGGACAAAATTAAAGTGTTTGACAAATATATTCAGAGAGTCCCAAGACACATATTAACATTAAATACTTTAGGATAAATGCACATTCATCAGTAGAGTGCAATTATACAAATTTTATTGGTGCCAGTGTGTGGTACTTTGTGCTATACATTACTATACAACACCTCACATGTATACAAACACTTAGGATTATTTTTGAGCATGTACAAATTAAACAAAGAAGAAGGCAAACCAGTTTGTGATAATTAGAAAAGCAAGACCGTAATAAGTAGAGATCAAATATACAATTTAGCAATCAATATCATGAACTTTCCTCTTTAACAGTTTGGCGAAAATGCATGCCTTGATCACAAAGTGGCTGCAACAATCCAATGGCATGGTTTTAAAGCCATTTATCCTGCCATAAACATACATTCATCATTAGCTCTTAAAGGAACACTAGCGTTAGGAATACAAGTGCTAGAGTGCCCTATTTGCAGGGTGGTTTTAGGTCCTCTCTGTTGTGCTAAGAATCAATAAAAAAGTTTTACTTATCTTTTTTTACCATCATTGCTGGCAGCTGCTTCATGTCACATGATGTCTTCTGGCTTTGAGCCGATGACCAATCCAATGCTCCTCACAGAGGAAACTGAGGATGCATGCACTGCAAGCACCGTGCACATATAAAAAAGCTATACATAGGAAACCATTAAATGCAATGTTCTCATATGAACTCTTGTGGCTGATATTCCACTCCAAAGTCTCTGTAAGATCTCCAAAGTCTCAGTAAACTTGGGAGATTTGGTTTATTTCACAAAAAGATGGTTTAAACTGTATTTTAAAAGTGCCTTGTGATTTTTCTTATTGAAATAGTGTTTGCCATAGTTTACCTGACAAAATAGCATCTGACAAGAGATCAGAATATATCGAATTTTGGGAATGTTAAATGCAAATTACTCAAGGTATAATGACATTTAATACTTGTGTAACTCCTACAATCTAATGAACTGAATGAAAGATGAAATTATATTATAAGAAAGATGCCAAGATACTTCCTGAACTATGACAAAGTTTATTGTCTCACCTTCAGTTCAATTTGCATAGAATAATGTGCAAATATACTGGAACGATAAAAGACTCTATGCTAAACCAATCATAAATTAAATTCCTTTTCTACGTTCTTTTGCCACCTCTGTTTCAAGTGTACTGTTGCTAGCGGAATCATATGTCAGATCCATGTATACCTATTACAGCACCTGACAAAAATTTGGGGCCTCTTATAAATATTTATTTTAATCTTTACTAGAAGAGGATAACACACTCTTTTATATATAGATCAAAGTGCTCCAGGTCTTGTGCAGTTATTATAATAAAGTGCTTATTGATATGATCTGCTACTGAGCTTTGTTTTGCAGAATTTGAATGTTTGTATTTTAGACATAATAGAGATTTGGTATATATTATATAGGTAAAATATTAGTAAATAAATAAATATAAGGTTTGACTTAAGGTTTAATTGGTCCCTTTGCTGTTTCCATAGACACCATACCATTCTCTGTCTTGCACGCTATCCCAGGTAGTTTTACACTAAATTTCTTTTGAGCTTTGCCACCTTCCATCGGCATTGCGTGTATCCTCACCCATGGTGTCTTGTTCTGCTCCAGTTTTTACTCTTGCGACCGGGTTGCGCTATGTTTGGCGACCAGCTATTTTGGGAATAGCTACTACATTACCTTATTAGATGACCCAGTTCCGGAAGGCTGGCACTACGCCCCTGAGGATTATCCTATTTACTATGCCTGTCTGTACAAATCAGGCTTAGGTACTATGAATACCAGTAGTAATGAGGTATGTAAAAAATCTATTCCATATATTTTTATTAATTATTGGCATTTTCCCAGATTCTTGAGTAGTAATTTTAGTAATTTAAGGTGGTAGGTAATTTAATTGCTGATCATGTTTGATTTTTATTTTTTTATTTTTTTTTATATATTTTTATTTTTCAAAAAGATTTTTTGTTTGTTTTAACATTATCAAATACATACAATACCTCAATGAGCATTACAAATATACAAATAAATATGTCCCATTAAGGCAGATATCTATAAAGTGCTTTTTATGCACACAATAGTTTATTTAGCTTTAGATACATACACATACAAATCCATACAATACAAAGCTAAAATAAGCCGCAATAGGGTTACAGTATCTATAAATTACATAGATAGCAGAATTGAGGTATCACCATACTCCATTCACACTAAAAAACACATACACTCCTGAGGAACCAGCATTGTTTTAACCGTTTGTGGCTTTACTTTCCATATGGGTGCGTCTTTCGCTAGTTTCTCTCCGGAATCAAACACACTGCGGGGGGATCTCAGACCTTCTATATTATAAGCCTTCATTACAAGCCATAAACTTGTCCACTATATTTTTCCACCTACTAGTTTTACTCAGACCCACAGAGTTTCCTTGAATTATTCCAATTTCCATTTTACATTGGTATATTATTTGTTTTTTAATTACAGCCCACTCTAACACTGTATTGCTTTTCCAATGCCTAGCTAAGACTGTCTTAGCTGCCATTAAAATGTGAATTATTAACATAGTTTTTTCAATAAGCATAGGGGGCCATCCCTGATGTAACAAAAAACTCTGTGGTGTGAAAGGTATATATATCTGACAGGTATTATAAATTTGTTGATAGATATTCTTCCATGTATTATTAAAAAATTTACATTGCCACCATATATGGAGATAATCTCCTTTCCCATCATCGCATCTCCAACACGCTTGATTCTGATCTTTATAAATGTTAGCCAGTTTTTCTGGGACCAAAATACCATCTGTTTATAAGTTTATAAAAATTCTCTATTATATTCAAACAATGTACCGATTTATTTACCTTAACTATCGCACTTATCATATCTTGCTCAGTAATTTCAATATGTAGATCTTTTTCCCACTTGTTCTTAAATTTCCAGACATAATACTTCTTAGAGTCCTTTAAAAACTCATAACATCTAGTAATATTTATTTTCTAATATGATTGGTTTATACTTGTATTGTGTATCCTATTTATTAGGACTTTGTGCACTTAAGTGATAACTTGACAAAATCCTCTGTGTAGGCTGAAACGTTGCTTCTTTTCTTGTTCTAATAAACTGCTTCATCGGCAGACCTGCATTTATTTTAAGACATAGTAAGCTCCATGTTTAAATATCATTTGGCATAATGTAATTTCATCCATGGTTTGTATGAATGCCTGAAAATATAGTAGTTAAAAAAAAAACAATTTGTATCATACCATCTATGTGATTTATTTCTTGGAAAAAATATTTTTCAAAAATTAAAGAAAATGTATGATGTCTTGTTCTGGGATTCTTTCTTGAAAAAATATACCTTAAGGTATTTTTAGACTAGCGTTGTAGATTTTTAATTCTCATGGTTTGTGTTTATGTTTTATTTAATAGGTACTAATAGATAGTCATTATTTTATCTACTAATGGCTTGGTTCAAATCCATTATTTAGCCTAGTGAATCAACCAAGAAAATAAGAAATAAAATGTCACAACCATATAACAACTAATGTATTCTGTAGTATAATTTAATAACAGATGTGTCTCTTTGTCAGTGGTTATGTCACATGTTTATAGTGCTATCATCAGCCAAGGGAGGAGCAGTGAAATGATCTCTCATAAATGTTACACCAGATAGAAATAAAGAAATAAATCAATATTTATTCAAGTATACTAAGAATGTAATGAAAAAACAAATTCTATTCACATCATAAAATATATCTAAAACGGCATATTTGTAAATAAAATGTCAAGTACCGAAGGAGAATTGCAAAAAGACAATACAGTATAATTAGAATTTGATTGAATATATCATTGTATAACTGCCTGTTATAGGCCTCAATTTAATATATTTGGACCAGCTTTTCAAATGATTTATTATTTTTGGATTAACCTTTAAAATGTTATCAAATTTGTAAAAAAAAAAAAATTTATAAAACAATATCAATAACTATATCAATATATAAAATATCAAATTAATACATTTTTCAAAATATTAAGGCACTTTAAAAGTGTATTCAAAAATATTAAATTATTTGACAAGGTTAACCAAAAACATTAACATTGAGGCTATAGTATGAAAGTGTGTCTTAATTAATTCAGCAACCATATGTTTGTTTATTTTATAGATTCAATCCAATAAATGGACCGTAAACCAGTGATTGTGGTCCATGGAGGGGCATGGGCAATACCAGATTATCTTGCAGAAAGTAGCACAAATGGTGTAAAAGGTGCAGCATGCTGTGGCTTTTCCATACTTGCACAGGGTGGAAGCAGCATGCACGCTGTAGAGGCAGCAGTGCGTGTTCTGGAAGACGACAAAGCATTCGATGCAGGTACAGATTTGTGTTTTGACCCATGACTTGGTTTATTTTCTTCTTTTCATATATTTACTAATGTTAACATCTTGAATGACAAGAGGTCAGGGTAGTCCTTGGATACCTATCTTAGTCCAGGCACACTGTCTCTCTCTGAAGGAGTTAACTGTTTGCTTTTTCATTGTACAGTTCTTCAGGTTGTGGTTTCAGCCATTGTAAAATCTCCAATTTGGCCATCCTACCTCTATCAGTTTTCTGAGCCATGTCCAACTTGGTCTGTCAACTTTTTTTTTTTTTTTCTCTCACTGGATAGGCAGACCTTTATGAATTTTAAGTAAAAATGAATAAGGGGAATGCAAAAAGCTGAATGTTTAATAGTATTTGATAACACAAACACATTTACACCAATTACCTGTTTATTAGCATTACTCTATAATACAAAGCAGTCGTTTCATTAACCCCTTAAGGACTGAGCCAAATGTACACGTTGTGATCAAAACAAAACATAAGCAAAACCTAGAATTTGACTATATGTCTGTTCAACCCTAATTCACCTCTTTCATATTATGTGCACCTACACTTATTATATATCATTTTATTCAGGGGAAACAGGGCTTTCGTTTAACATCAAATATTTAGCTATGAAACATAATTCAATATGATTAAAATATAAAAACATTTTTTTTTTTGTTCTACGTGACATTTTATCTGTGAATGTCATAATACAGTTTGCTTTTAAAATAGACATATTTGTATTCAGCGATGTCTCACGTGTAAAACAGTACCCCTTATGTACAGGTTTGTATGGTGTTTTGGGAAGTTACAGGGTCAAATATAGCATGTTACATTTTTCCATTTTTTCACATTCACCAGATTGGTTACGTTGCCTTTGAGACCGTATGGTAGCCCAGGAATGAGAATTACCCCCATGTAGGCTTAAAAAAGGTTGTTTACCTGCACATGATTTAATAAAACCACATTTTTTTGATTGAAAAGGCCTGTGAGTGAAATTTCCTTTTTTGGCTATATTTTGGACGCATTGTGGATTGCACCTAGGCAGATATATGGTGTATACCGAAGGGGAGAGTGCCAAGCTATCCACTGTATTATATAATATTATATATATATATATATAATTTTTTTTTTTTTTTTTAATGATTTGTATATATGTATATATATATATATATATATATATATATATATATATATATATATATATATATATGTATGTATATGTATATATATATATATATATATATATATATATATACCTATTGTATTTATATATAGGGGTGTGTGTGTGTGTGTGTGTGTATATATATATATATATATATATATATATATTAGAGAGAGAGATGCGTATATACTTATGTATATAGATATATGTATTTTGTTCTACGTGTATTTTGATATCAATATATATTAATATCAAAATACAGTTAGAATGAAATTACACACATATATATATTTTTTAATTATTTATTTTTAATTTTTTTATTTTTTAACGTATTTACATTTTTTTTATATTCTATATAAATATATATATATATATATATAATTACAATTATATATTTAATCAATATCATTCTACATGTATTTTAAATTTATATATATATATATATATATATATATACACACACACACACACACACACACACACACACACACACACACACACACACACACACACACACACACACACACACGGAGTGCAGAATTATTAGGCAAGTTGTATTTTTGAGGATTAATTTTATTATTGAACAACAACCATGTTCTCAATGAACCCAAAAAACTCATTAATATCAAAGCTGAATATTTTTGGAAGTAGTTTTTAGTTTGTTTTTAGTTTTAGCTATGTTAGGGGGATATCTGTGTGTGCAGGTGACTATTACTGTGCATAATTATTAGGCAACTTAACAAAAAACAAATATATACCCATTTCAATTATTTATTATTACCAGTGAAACCAATATAACATCTCAACATTCACAAATATACATTTCTGACATTCAAAAACAAAACAAAAACAAATCAGTGACCAATATAGCCACCTTTCTTTGCAAGGACACTCAAAAGCCTGCCATCCATGGATTCTGTCAGTGTTTTGATCTGTTCACCATCAACATTGCGTGCAGCAGCAACCACAGCCTCCCAGACACTGTTCAGAGAGGTGTACTGTTTTCCCTCCTTGTAAATCTCACATTTGATGATGGACCACAGGTTCTCAATGGGGTTCAGATCAGGTGAACAAGGAGGCCATGTCATTAGATTTTCTTCTTTTATACCCTTTCTTGCCAGCCACGCTGTGGAGTACTTGGACGCGTGTGATGGAGCATTGTCCTGCATGAAAATCATGTTTTTCTTGAAGGATGCAGACTTCTTCCTGTACCACTGCTTGAAGAAGGTGTCTTCCAGGAACTGGCAGTAGGACTGGGAGTTGAGCTTGACTCCATCCTCAACCCGAAAAGGCCCCACAAGCTCATCTTTGATGATACCAGCCCAAACCAGTACTCCACCTCCACCTTGCTGGCGTCTGAGTCGGACTGGAGCTCTCTGCCCTTTACCAATCCAGCCACGGGCCCATCCATCTGGCCCATCAAGACTCACTCTCATTTCATCAGTCCATAAAACCTTAGAAAAATCAGTCTTGAGATATTTCTTGGCCCAGTCTTGACGTTTCAGCTTGTGTGTCTTGTTCAGTGGTGGTCGTCTTTCAGCCTTTCTTACCTTGGCCATGTCTCTGAGTATTGCACACCTTGTGCTTTTGGGCACTCCAGTGATGTTGCAGCTCTGAATATGGCCAAACTGGTGGCAAGTGGCATCGTGGCAGCTGCACGCTTGACTTTTCTCAGTTCATGGGCAGTTATTTTGCGCCTTGGTTTTTCCACACGCTTCTTGCGACCCTGTTGACTATTTTGAATGAAATGCTTGATTGTTCGATGATCACGCTTCAGAAGCTTTGCAATTTTAAGAGTGCTGCATCCCTCTGCAAGATATCTCACTATTTTTGACTTTTCTGAGCCTGTCAAGTCCTTCTTTTGACCCATTTTGCCAAAGGAAAGGAAGTTGCCTAATAATTATGCACACCTGATATAGGGTGTTGATGTCATTAGACCACACCCCTTCTCATTACAGAGATGCACATCACCTAATATGCTTAATTGGTAGTAGGCTTTCGAGCCTATACAGCTTGGAGTAAGACAACATGCATAAAGAGGATGATGTGGTCAAAATACTCATTTGCCTAATAATTCTGCACTCCCTGTATATATACACTTAGAGCGTATATATATATATATTAAAATGTATATATTATTTACTTTTTAACTGTTATTAACGTTTATTTTACATTTTAAAGCAGGCAGGGGGACTGCCTGTCATTCCAGACAGTCCCCCTGCTGGCAATGCTGTGGACGGTTATGCTGTCCATGTGATCGTGAGGTCCTCGTGATCACATGGCCCAGGAGGGCCGGATTGGAAGCAGGGGGACTCCCTGGAATGCCAGGTGAGTCCCCCCATGTGGGATCACTGGCGATCGAGTAAGTACATAGGACGGTGGGGACGTTCTATGCTGCCCTCTGTCCTTAAGGGGTTAAAGTGTATGGACAGGAGCTATAATCTGCTGCAACAGAAAGGATTCTTTAAAGTAAGGAAAATAAAGATATGGAATCCGCTATCTAAGTAGATTGTGCTGTCAAATTTAACACATAATTCATATAAAAAGGAGGGAGATACATTTAGCTAACAGGCCTCCTAAAATATTATGAAAATTAATATTAGTAGGCTGATGGTCCTTTGAAAAATGACAATATGAAATAAAAAAAAAGAGTTTTGGTATAACAAAACTACAATACAGTTAAAGGTTTTTCCTTCATGCAAAACAATGACTGCACTAGGGTTGAGTGGAGTGAGATTTAAAATATATTTAGTAGTGTTTAAGTACGAAATGGAAAAAGCACTGTGTTGCAACAATGAATATAAAATGGTAGCAGCCTAAAATATGGTAATGATAAGAAGACATATTTTACTATATTAAAAAAAAATATCAACAACATTAGCTATGGTAGTAATATTTTGGTTTTCTTAGATAGCATAAGCTATTGCATCCTCAGTGCTATATAATTACCTTAAGTATAAAGTATATCAGTCAATAAATGCAGACATCGTAAGCACTGCCTTGCAGTCTTTCACATTTAAAAGAAAGACGATAAAAGCTTTATGACTGAATGAAACCAATTATTTTTTTTAGTTGCTAGAAGCATTTTATTTACTTAAAAGCTTGTGACAATAAAAACAAATATTTTTTTATGAGAATGTAGTGCAAAAGCTACCAGGACGGTTGTAGTAAATTGTTTTAAAATAGTTTATCATATTTATTCATAAAGCCTTAGGACATATATGTTTGCTTCTGTTACAAACTGACTTTTTTCCTTTAGGTCATGGTGCAGTATTGAATGCTGATGGTAACGTAGAGCTTGATGCAATCATAATGGATGGGAAAAATCTTGCTGTAGGTGCTGTTTCTTGCATCAAAAATATTGCAAATCCAATCACGTTTGCTCGCTCAGTCTTAGAAAAGGTAAAGTACTAAACTTTTGACAAAGCCTGTTCTTCACTCTGTGCTTTAATGGTATTGGCATCTGTTCAGTGAATAAAATTTGCTAGAGACAAGTTAGGTAACTCTGTAACAGATCCCCTATACTCCGGCTGAGTATATCTGTTATAAATCTCCCGAGTCCCAAGTGAAATAGTGATTATAGCTCCAAGTTCCCCAAACATCAGCCTAGACATGATGAAGGGTAGAAACTAATGTATTTATTATGGCCAACTGGCCTACTTATATACAAACAAGGATGCAGTAAAACACGCACAGAATACTCCCACAAAATGTCTACAAATTTCTGTGTTAGAGTGACTCAGCATAAAAACATAAAATATCAAAATACATAAATACTTATAAAACATAAAGAAATGCCCACAAATAATATATCTCTGGATAACTTGGATCTGAGCACCCAAGTTGTCCAAATAGAGCTCAGATCCCATGAACACAGCTGAATTGCCACCGGGGTAAAGTTTTGACTTACCCCTCCTGAGACTTCTGCCCAAATTAGTTCCAGAGTTTCAGTGGTGGCGGTCGGTCAATTTCGGGAGTTCCAAACTGAACAAAAAGACGAATGGTTCTCCTGGCTCAAAGGTAGCATTTCATGTGGACAAACCTACCAAACTGCACTTTCCTGGCTTATCACGGAAAGAAGCAGGCATTCGTATACATTCACCAGTGTTCACGTGGTCGAGTGTCTGACTTATAGTTCCAGACACGCTGCCTGCGTTAGTGAGACTAGATGGCAGCTGTTTTCTCCAGCACGTGATGTTCCGTTATACAAATGACGGCCACACAGAGAGAGCACTTTATTCTGTGGTTTTCTTTGAAGTTTAATGAGCCAGAGGTGGTCGGTGTTCGGGAGAGGGTAGTTCCCAAACTGGGTAACATTAATGGGGTTTGATAACCTAGTATTGAACATAGGAAGAGAATATCTTGGACACAGGAAAAGTGGGTTTTGTCACATTGCTCACCCCCAGTTCCATGGGGCAGCATACCCGCCTAGACCCTAATGGGTTGGCTTGGGGATGGCCGGACAAGTAATCATTATTTCTCCAATTTGGTTTGTCTAGACAACCCATCAGCATTGGCGTTCTGCAATCCTGGCCGGTATTGCATTGTAAAGTTGTATGGTTGCAGTGCCAGGCTCCATCTCAGCAGCCTGGGGTTGTCTCCAGCCACTCGGTTGAGCCAAATTAGGGGGTTGTGGTCAATCATGATGATGAAGGAGCCTCCATACAAGTAAGGCTGTAATTTCTTTAGTGCCCAAACTAGGGCTAGGCACTCCTTCTCTACGGTGGCATAGCTGACTTCCCGGGGTAACCATTTCTACTTAGGCCACCGGGTGCTCCATGCCATTGTCCTCGACCTGGCTTAATACTGCTCCCAGTCCAAACATTCTGTATGAATGAGAAATATTTTAGTGTGGTCAGGTGCAGCTAATACATGTGCCTCGCTCAGTGCCATTTTCAGCTTCTGGAAGGAGTCCTCACACTCTGGTGACTTAGGAATAGCATCAGGCTCCAAGGGGATTTGCCAATACCCTTTGCACAAGTCTATAGTGGTCAAGTAATTCCCTCCTGCCATCTGGTCTAATAGCTCATCAACTCTGGGCATAGGGTAGGCGTTGGTAACTGACCATTCGTTGCATTTGTGCTAGTCAATGCAGAAGCTAGTTGTACCATCCCGTTTAGGCACCAAAACCACCGGTAAGCCCAAGGACTCTGGGAGGGTTCTATTAACCCTAATTCTAGCATGTTCTGAATTTCTTTGTGCATGCTCTCCCTAACATCTTTAGGGATGCGATACGGTTGCTGCCGGAGAGGTATCGGGGTTTCCACTCAGTGTACCACCGGCGTTGTGTACCCTGGTATGGCAGAAAACATTTCATGATATTCCCCTAGCAGTTGGGAGGCTTGATGTGTCTCAGAGGAGCTTAAGTTAGTCACTAGACTGACTTGCTCTACTCAAACTGGGGTGGCGGGGAGCATATCGGGTGAGGGAAGAACTTTGCTGTCCTTGAAGGCAAGGGCGCAAACTGCTGCTACCTCTTCTGTCCTTTTTAGATAAGGCTTAAGCATGTTCACATGAAAGACCTTCTGATCCTCTCATCCGAACATTTCCCCACTATATAGCTGGTGTTGCTTATCCTCTCTACTACCCTGAAGGGACCCTGCCAAGCTGCTTGTAGCCTATCTGCTCTAGTGGGTCTTTTTGCCCAGGCTCTAGAATGCGATCTCTAGCCCCCCGGTCACACCAACATTTTTGGAGCTGCTGGGCCACCCACATGTTCTCTCGCACAGACTCATTAAGTCTCAGTTAGAGCTTGCTGTCGGTCCCATAGCCCCATAGCATGACATGTCATGATTCCCTTTTATTCCAGACGTTTGGTCCTTAGGGGGCTAAGGGTGCCACTAAATCATTCAGAGTCTGTTTGTCTGAGGGTGATAAGAAGAGCTAAATATGGATTTCACCTTATAGCTCTGCCAGAGCTAGTGAGTAATGTGTGCTGTGGACTAGGTCCCCTGATCGGATACGATTTCCCTGGAAAATCCTACCCGAGTAAAGTAGGCTTCTGCTACGGTTTCTGTATGGATGTTGGAAAGGGCCATGGCTTCAGGGCCCTGAGTAGCGTAGTCCACCACAGTAAGAATATACTTCTTCCTCGAGGGACTAGGCTTACCGAGGGGTCCTACCAGATCTACCACTACCCAGTATAAGGGTTCTTCTACAATGGGGAGTGGTCTGAGTTTAGCCCTAGGGGCGTCACCCCTCTTTCCTATTATTTGATGCACATCTCCACGCCAAAAGAATGCCGGGTCAACTGGTCCTTCCTCTTCCTTATGCCTAAGTGGCCTGCTATGGGTATATTGTGGCTGATGCTTAGTAATTCAGCATGGTATTTCTGGGGTAATACTAACTAACTGTCTCTTGGGTACTTGGTCCGCTCCTACCCCGTTTCCTCCGGTTCCACTAGTCCTTTCTCCCATTGGAATCAGTCCTGATCTAGGTCCCCCTGTGGGGTGTCTGCCCACCTCCCTCTGCTCTTTCACAAAGTCTTGTGGGGTGCCCCAATATGGAGCAGGGTCTATGGTCGGGGTATCGGTTTGTACCTGGTTTTCCTGAGAGTGTGAGGAGTTAATCTCTCAAGCATGCAGCCGCGTGGTTATGGGTAGTGCTCTCTCCAGGGTTGACGGAACGAACTGGGAGGTTAAACACCCCAAGTCATTCCCCAGTAGTACTTCCACTGGTAAGTCTCTCATAATCCCCTCTTCCAGGGATTTAGCTCTGGTACCCCAGTCAATATGGACCTGGACTACAGGCAACTTGTATGTTGGAACAGATGCATCATGTATGGCTGTACCAGATGCATCATGTGTGGCTGTACCTGGTGTCTCTCAAACCCTTGGTCGGTCAATTTCGGGAGTTCCAAACCAAACAAAAAGACTAGCAGTTCCCCTGGCTCACAGGCAGCGTTTGTTTGCCTTGTTCGTCCAAACAAACCTTCCGAACAGTGCTCTCCTGGCTTGTCGCGGAAAGAAGCAGGCATTCATATACTTTCACCGGTGTTTGTGCGGTTGAATGTCTGACTTGTAGTTCCAGACACTTGACGACCAGGTCCAGCTGCCTGTGTTCGTGCGACAAGATGGCCACACAGAGAGAGCACTAAATTCTGTGGTTTTCGTCAATGTTTAATGAGTCAGGTGTGGTCGGTGTTTGGGAGTGGGTAGTTCACAAATGGCGTTTTATAACCTAGTATTGCACATAGAAGGAGGATATATTAGACATAGGCAAAATAGTGGGTTTTGTGACAAGCTCTTATGGTTTCTATATTTTTTCCTAATTAAACCTTAAAGTGCGCCTGTCCCTTGTAAAATGTTTCTAATAGCATAAACGTTGTGTAGGTGATAACAACATTTTATTTAGCACGGTTATTTATTAAACTGAGAATTGTTAGAAATGAATTGCAGACCATAATAGAAAAACTGGAAGCATAGCTTACTTGAAGAATGTTGCCAGTTCTGCTATTTTGCCCTTAAATTTGAAATTCACTTTCAATTCCCAACAATTCCCACTTTTGTAAATAAAGCTGTATGTGTCAAACATATTGATTTGAAGATATAATATAGATGAAGTTTGCCCTGTGGGGTGTACTAGGCAGACATGCCTCAATACATATTGTACATCATAAAGGAGCACACCCAAATGACAGCTGTATTGCAAATGTTCAGTACATATTGGATACTCATGAGACATAAAACAAATAATATTCCCAAACCAAACATTAATGCACTCACCCAACAATGGGCAGTAAACCACTTGACACAATTCATACACAATAATAAACAATCCAAAATATTGAGCAAAAACAGAAAATAATTTTAAAAAAAGACAAAATAGGGGAAAAAAATAGTCACAATATATAAACTATCAAACAGGGAAAATAGTATATACCAAATACATAGATGAAAGATATATTAAGTATAGAAGGCTAGAAGAAATGGGAGATACCACAGGTCAGAGAAAAAAAGATGATACCCCAAAGTTTCAGTAAAGAGCCTCTGTCAATAGAATATCATACTATGCAATAATTCCTTTTATATTGTGGCCTAGATATTCAGCTTTCTACACCCACAGCAATTACCATAAGTGTAGCTTTATCTGTTTAATCTATTTATTTAACTAATTTAAGCATAAATCTAGTCCTATTAGCCGTGGCGTACACATGACCCATGGGGCCCCGGTGCGAAAATTGATCCGTGGGCCCCCCCGCGTGCGCGGGTCGGGCCGCAACACATGGCGGTGGGCACCTGGTCGCAGGGGTTACACGGCTGCGACCGCGGTATGTACGCCAGTGCATGCAGATGCACACACACACTTAAAGGACCACTATAGTGCCAGGAAAACATACTCGTTTTCCTGGCACTATAGTGCCCTGAGGGTGCCCCCACACTCAGGGTCCCCCTCCCGCCCAGCTCTGGAAAGTGGAAAAGGGGTTAAACTTACCTTTTTCCAGCGCTGGGCGGGGAACTCTCCTCCTCCGATCCTCCTTCTCTCTTCCCCGGCAAGAGCTGCGCGCGCATTCAGCCCGTCTCATAGGAAAGCATTCATAATGCTTTCCTATGGACGCTTGCGTGCTCTCACTGTGAAAATCACAGTGAGAAGCACGCAAGCGCCTCTAGTGGCTGTCAATGAGACAGCCACTAGAGGATTAGGGGGAAGGCTTAACCCATTCATAAACATAGCAGTTTCTCTGAAACTGCTATGTTTATAAAACAATGGGTTAGCCTAAAGGACCTGGCACCCAGACCACTTCATTAAGCTGAAGTGGTCTGCAGAGTGGTCCTTTAAAGGACCACTACAGACACGCAGATCACATCAATGAAGTGGTCTGGGTGCCAGGTCCCTCTAGTTTTAACCCTGCAGCTGAAAACATAGCAGTTTCAGAGAAACTGCTATGTTTCACTGAGGGTTAATCCAGCCTATAGTGGCTGTCTCACTGACGGCAGCTAGAGGAGCACACTGAACGTCCATAGGAAAGCATTGAGTAATGCTTTCCTATGGGCGGTTTGAATGCGTGTGCGGTCGCATTCGGAGCTGAGAGGCTGAGGGATCCCCAGCGCCAAGGGAGTCCGGCGCTGGAGAAAGGTAAGTGCTGAAGACACACACACTCTCACTTACAGACGCATACACACTAGCTAACAGACACACACATTTACTGACACACACTCAGCGACAGACATACATACACACTAACTTACAAAACATACACACTCAGTAAGACACACAGTAACACTCACTGACACTCACTAGCAGACACACTCACTCACTCTAACACTCACTGACACTCACTTTAACACTCACACTCACTAGCAGACACACACACACTCTAACATTCACACACTCTAACACACACACACTCTAACACTCACACACACTCACACTAACATTCACACACTCTAACACTCACACACACTCACACTAACATTCACACACTCTAACACACACACACTCTAACACTCACACACACTCACACTAACATTCACACACTCACACTAACATTCACACACTCTAACACTCACACACACTCACATGTTATTTTTAAATGAAATCCCCCCAGCCTCCTTACCTTTTGGAGTGCTGGGGGGATTCCCTGGGGTCCAGTGGTGCTGCTGGGCTCCTGGGCGGGTGGCCGGTCGGGCAGGCAGGCGGGCGCGCGAGAGAGCACTCAGTGCTTCCTATTCAGCTCCCTCGCGCGCCGCGCAGGGATGCCGGCGCCGGAAGATGACGTCATCTTCCGGCTCCGGTATCAGTGCGGTGCGCGAGGGAGCTGAATAGGAAGCACTGAGTGCTCCCTCGCGCGCCCGCCTGCCTGCCCGACCGGCCACCCGCCTGCCTGGGGTCAGCAGGGCCAGCCTCGGGGGGCCCTGGGGTGGTCGGTTCCTGGGCCCCCCAGGGGAAGAGGCTGGCCCTGTGGCTACATACCGGGTCGCAGGGGCGGCCGGGCCCCCTGGTGAGCCGGGCCCGGTCGCAACCGCGACCCCTGCGACCCTGGTATGTACGCCACTGCCTATTAGTCTAGTGGTGTGAATACAAATGAATATATACTGTTTCTTTTTGTACATTTTAGATATGCTTTAGACTTAATAAAGGATGGAATATTAGTCTTTATGTATACATCTGTTTCCAATTTTACTAGTATAGTTAGTATATCAAGATGACAAATACTAAACATAAAATTGTATTAAATTCTGAAATGTGTATGCACATATCTAGTGTAAGATAATGTCAAATCAAAGTTGTAATGGAAATCGTGTACAGCACATGCAGTTATTATATGGACAGTTAAAGGGACATTATAGGCACCCAGACCACTTCAGCTCATCCACCAATTAACAGGAATCTGATCCCTATATGGCTATTTAATTGAGAGCTGCACAATATCCACTCTTAAGCAGTGTGTTTATTACCAAACGTTTTTGCTGCACTTATTATACCAATGTTAAAGATGCTCTTCACTATTTTTCTGACTTATTAATTTTCATATTGCGCACAATGTTTTCGTTTGTTATTTAGCTATAAGAATGTTTGCCATATATATATTTATATATATGTTGGAAGGTCATTTGGCCTGAATTTGTGGGAGGAGTTATGATCCTATTTAAACCCTACCCCCCTACTTACCTTTGTCGTGCAAGCTATTTGTCGTCTCCATAGTTACCTGCATTTCCGGTTCATCGTTCCCGACAAGTCCTGTTTTAAGCAGTCTCCAGCAAGCAGCCTGTCGTCAGCAGCTCCTGCCTCCGTCTTCCGGCCAGTACACCGACTTCTACCTGACTTCGCTACTCGCTACCCGGCTTCCGGTCACGAGACCAGCACGTCCACGTAAGCATAAATGTGGAAAATGGCATTCGGCTATTTCCCATGTTCGGGCCTAAAAATGCCGGGATAGACTCCTTTCATTACTTACCCGTTCGTGCTCTTACACTGTTCGTGAACTTCTGCGTTCGTGCAGCTAACAGCAGACCGCAGTACACACTCCTTTCGTTTGTATTTTCAAATAAGCTAACTGCCGACTGCACTGAACAAATTTACGTTTGACTATTTCATCCTTCCCCTGGTGATCTCGGTCATACAGTCTGGCTTACCCATCATTTCCCTCCCCACCCCCCACCACCCACTATCACTACTCCATACGTCTCACCGGCCCACTCTGTTCCAATTTCCATGGAGAAGGAAATTCTCGATGGAAAGGACGTTAAACTAACATCACTACTTAACTTCCCAAGACACCCTACAGTACAAAGGTTATATTCATGGTGACATTTCAGTAGTTCTAAAACCGATGACTAAACAAAGCTTTCCATTCCTCTGTTTGTCATTACCTCTCGCATAGAGTCAGCCACTTCCACTTCTCACCACTCCTTCACCACACGCATTAGACAGGGAGATGGGCAGAGGGACAAGCTGGGCTGACCATTTCATTTCTGGGGAAGGCTGTTAAACTATGGTAATTTTTGCCTCTTCCTCTAAACCTACAAGTCAAGCATCTTACTTATACCTCCTATGCTGTCACTCCGCTTTTACGTATCCAAGGTCAACTACACACTATCAGTCCTAATCCATTACTTCACATCTAAACCTTCCATTAAGGTGAGCTACATCATGGCTTCCTTTGCTGGTCTCTCTTTAATGCTGGGGTATGCTCTTTCACTACATGCAGGGTATTGCACATCTGCTCCAGAGCCCACACCTAATCCACATTTACAGACTGTCTGTCACCTAAGATAGGCCTAACTAAAGTTAACATAGATATCCTAGAATACTATCTGCATTTACACCCAGCTAGGCATCTGGTAGATTCTGGGGCTGGGTTTCTCACAGGGGTTTTACACGGGCCTTATTGCCATTCCCACAGGTACACTCGTATGCCCTAACCTATTATCTGCATCCATTGACCCACTTACGGTGGACCATCTTCTGTCCACAGCAATCATACGCTGGTTTCACGATCACCTCTTTCCAGTCTTCACACTTCACATCTTGGCGTACCAATCCCATCAAGGTAGCCATTCACAATACCCTATAATACATCTGATCATAGACCTTCTGCACCGCACTCTACATCCATTCTCAGCATCAACTCCCTCATTCCCGCTAAGGAGTTGTCACTGCACTGAGCAAATCGACGATCCATGCAAGCTATCACTTCAGCAGGTTGTGAGGTTTGGTTAACCAAGACAGACTTAGCCAACGCCTTTAATCTACTACCTATTCACCCTTCATTATGGCACCTGGCCTACGTTTGGCTCTAGGAGCAGCCCTAAGTATTCAACATCTTCGCACAAACCCTCTGCTGGCCGCTCCTAAAAATATTCAGGTGTCCATACGTCATCCGCTATCTGGATGAATTTTTTGTTGATTTAACAGGTTCACAAACACCTAACAGGGTTCACACCACCACAGCCTCATTTTCACGACACTCGGGGTCCCTCTGTCACCAGTCAACCACTGGTTAGGGATGCCTGGCCACTGTGACGGATGCCTTGCCGGCAGAGAGACTTCTACTTTGTCAGAGATCTACCCCATCATGGCGGCCACCCTCACATGGGGTCATCTTTGGACCGGCAAGGCAGTTAAATGCTGCTCTCACAACTCCGCAGCCTGCGACATCATTAACAAGGGCGTCCATCCTCGCTAACCATTTTTTGGCTGATTCGCTGGCTGACTTGGCTGGCAGCAACTTCTCAGCTCTTTTTAGTCTGCTTTTACATTCCTGGTGTCCACAACACAGCCACTGACGCTCTTTCACGCTCAGTTTAAGGTCTTCTTTCAGGCACTCCCTACGACCCACTACCTACCATCCAGGATACTACCATTCCATGAGCTAATCTTGGACTAAGCACACAATTACACCTCGTACAGGTATGCATGCTTCACGCAGTTTCATGACTACTCTATCACTCACGCCAGGGCTTTGTGTATTGTACCATGTCACAAGTAGAGTTTGCTTGATTCAAGACTTTTGCAGTAAAACTATGGTAATTTTTGCCTCTTCCTCTAAACCTACAAGTCAAGCATCTTACTTATACCTCCTATGCTGTCACTCCGCTTTTACGTATCCAAGGTCAACTGCACACTATCAGTCCTAATCCATTACTTCACGTCTAAACCTTCCATTAAGGTGAGCTACATCATGGCTTCCTTCGCTGGTCTCTCTTTTTCACAAAAGCGCTGCATCAGCAGCTTCAAGCTCTTACACTCCAGTCTACATCACTAGTGATGGGGCCACAGGTAATCCTCAGCTCAGTTACATATATACCTAAATCAGAGTAAAAGCTCCTTACAAGCTTTCAGTACCCAAGCTGTTTAAACTTGCAATAAAGTGTGTTTTCTTTGAATCCTCTTTTGCCCTCTTTTATTACAGGCCCACTCGTACGTTGGATCCTATTTAAACCCTAAAAGTCTCTCATTTCAGTTTGATTTCTCTAATTTAATAAATTAGTTTTATTATATCTTTCGAATATTGTTGTATAATTTTCACACTGTCACAAATATAGATCAAGCTCCCTGTCTTCAAGTTACATATCAACAAATGTCATCTGGGGATATTTTCATCCAGAGTTTTGGTGTCAGGTATCATCTTTTTAATCATTTTAAATATATTTCAGTCAAATTTAAGCAGTGGATATGCTTATATAATTTATTTAGAGAGTTTTTCCAAGCCTCTTCTTCGATGTGTATTTTTAAATCTTTTTCCAACTTATTTATTGCTCCTGTAAGTTTGTCTCAAGTTACATAAAACTTTGACATATTTTGCCAATAAATGTTTACAGTTTCCTATAGCTTGAGGAGTTGAGTAAACTCTCTTGTTGTCTTTCCACTGCTTTAGAGATATGTTAAAATTAAACCTTTAATTCTCAAATTGAAAATATCTCTATATGGAATGGAGCATTCCTCAATTATTTGTTGTAATGGCTTACAAGGGCACCCTTGTCTTATCCCATTTTAATATTGAAAAACACTGTGAAACAGGGGGTTAATGGAACTCCACTCATACTCCCATGAATAGATGCAGAAAAAGATGCACGATTCTGTCTTATTGCAATGGATAGCGGTTCCAATCCCCATATATAACAATGGGGAGAAAGGGCACCCTTGTCTTATCCCATTTTAATATTAAAACACTGTGAAGTGAATCCTGATCATGTAACTTTAGCCTGTGGGGAATCAAAGAGAGATGATATAGCTTGTAACATGGAGCCTGTAATTCCAAATTCTTTCATGGTAGTGAACATTCAAACCCACCTACCCTATTAAATGCTTTTTCTGCATCTATTCATAGGGGTATGAGTGGAGTTCCATTAACCCCTGTTTCATCAAAGACATCTATTATTCTTATGAAGTTATTAACTAACAACCTGCCTGGTATAAAGCCTAGCTGATCGTTCGTGATTAAATTTAATATAGCTATTGTTTTGATCTTTCAGCAAGAATAGAGGAAAATATTTTATTATCTGTGTTCATCAGATAGATTGATCTATAATTACTGATCAACTCAGGATCTCTGACTCCTTTGGAATTGGAACATTGCTTGCTCTCAATAATTTTACAGGGCATCTCCTTGTTTTTATTATAATGTTAAAACATTGTGTACGTTCTCCTTTTAACTTTTCTTTCATCAATTTGTAAAATGTATTTGTGAAACCATCAGGACCAGGAGAAGTTTTCAATTTAAGCTTATCAATTGTTTGTTACTTCTTCCTCTGACATAGGTTGATTTATAAATTTAATTAATCGTGAATAATTTCTTAATCTCCTCTTCTCCCTAAACATCTCTTTTGGTAATTGTATAAATCCCTATAGAACTCTTAAAAAGCATCTACCTATTTGTCCTGGGGCCAACAAGTATGTATCTTTATCCTTGATTTTAGAAATAACTCTTTTACTTCTTAATTTCTTTTTACTTTATTAGAGCTTCTGTTTTCTTAATGCCTTTTTGTTTACCATTTGGGTTGAATGCATTCTACAGTTCTAGCTGCTTTATTAATTTGATGATCAATTATACATATTTCTAGATCTACAATCTTGCTTGCAGTTTCTTTTGGGAGCATAGCTTTATTCTGCCTTTTAAAATCATTTAATGCTAGATATAGCTATAGAAGGGACGGCTTTCTTTCTTTCTTGTTTTGCAATAGCTGTCATGCTGCTCAAGTTTACGCTAACTACATTTTTGTAAGAATACCAAACTCTTATATCTGATATACCTTTATTTTATTTTCTAAAAAAAAAATAATTAATTATCTTCTACATTCTGTTTTTTTTTAATGAATTATTTGATTGTTAAATCGCCAATCTTTACGGAATACATCAAAAGCATCTTTAATCTAACATAATTGGGCTGTGGTCTGACCATGTTATATATTTTTTTCTATTCTATTTTTTTTTAACCAGATTAAGTATGGCCACATTTCCTAATATAAGATCAATTCTAGAGAAAGGATTGATTGTTCTAGAGTAACATGTAAAATCAATCTCAGGAGGATGAAATGTTCTCCATATGTCTGAGATAATATTTATTTAGTAGTTTTTTTTTTTTTTTTTCTAGCTTTGGTTTCTTTATAGTTAGAAAAAAACTACTATGCAATTAAAATCACCCATAATTAATATCCTCCCTATTTAATCTGATTTTCTTCAGTATTCTTGCAATAAATATTGTTAGGGACTTATTTGGTGCATAGATACAGCTGCAAGAAAAAGTATGTGAACCCTTTGGAATGATATGGATTTCTGCACAAATTGGTCATAAAATGTGATCTGATCATCATCTAAGTCACAACAATAGACAATCACAGTCTGCTTAAACTAATAACACACAAAAGAATGAAATGTTGCCATGTTTTTATTGAACACACCATGTAAACATTCACAGTGCAGGTGGAAAAAGTATGTGAACCCTTGGATTTAATAACTGGTTGAAGCTCCTTTGGCAGCAATAACTTCAACCAAACGTTTCCTGTAGTTGCAGATCAGGCGTGCACAACGGTCAGGAGTAATTCTTGACCATTCCTCTTTACAGAACTGTTTCAGTTCAGCAATATTCTTGGGATGTCTGGTGTGAATCGCTTTCTTGAGGTCATGCCACAGCATCTCAATCGGGTTGAGGTCAGGACTCTGACTGGGCCACTTCAGAAGGCATCTTTTCTTCTGTTTAAGCCATTCTGTTGTTGATTTACTTCTATGCTTTGGGTCATTGTCCTGTTGCAACACCCATCTTCTGTTGAGCTTCAGCTGGTAGACAGATGGCCTTACGTTCTCCTGCAAAATGTCTTGATAAACTTAGGAATTAATTTTTCCTTCGATGATAGCAATCCGTCCAGGCTCTGATGCAGCAAAGCAGCCCAAAACCATGATGCCCCCACCACCATACTTCACACTTGGGATGAGGTTTTGATGTTGGTGTGCTGTGCCTTTTTTTCGCCACACATAGTGTTGTGTGTTTCTTCCAAACAACTCAACTTTGGTTTCATCTGTCCACAGAATATTTTGCCAGTACTGCTGTGGAACATCCAGGTGCTCTTGTGCAAACTGTAAACGCGCAGCAATGTTTTGTTTGGACAGCAGTGGCTTCCTCTGTGGTATCCTCCCATGAAATCCATTCTTGTTTAGTGTTTTACGTATTGTAGATTCGCTAACAGGGATGTTAGCATTTGCCAGTGACTTTGTAAGTCTTTAGCTGACACTCTAGGATTCTTCTTCACCTCATTGAGCAGTCTGTGCTGTGCTCTTGCAGTCATCTTTACAGGACGGCCACTCCTAGGAGAGTAGCAGCAGTGCTGAACTTTCTCCATTTATAGACAATTTGTCTTACCGTGGACTGATGAACAGCAAGGCTTTTGGAGATACTTTTATAACCCTTTCCAGCTTTATGCAAGTCAACAATTCTTAATCGTAGGTGTTCTGAGAGCTCTTTTGTGTGAGGCATCATTCACATCAGGCAATGCTTCTTGTGAAAAGCAAACCCAGAACTGGTGTGTGTTTTTTATAGGGCAGGGCAGCTGTAACCAACACCTCCAATCTCATCTCATTGATTGGACTCCAGTTGGCTGACATCTCACTCCAATTAGCTCTTGGAGATGTCATTAGTCTGGGGGTTCACATACTTTTTCCACCTGCACTGTGAATGTTTACATGGTGTGTTCAATAAAAACATGGCAACATTTCATTCTTTGTGTGTTATTAGTTTAAGCAGACTGTGATTATCTATTGTTGTGACTTAGATGATGATCAGATCACATTTTATGACCAATTTGTATATATTATTCCAAAGGGTTCACATACTTTTTCTTGCAACTGTATTAACTAGTGTGAAGATTTTGTTATTTATTACACATACTAAAATATACTGGAGCACTGGAAGAAGGCGATCTTGCCGAAACGCGTCTGCTGACAGCACAGGCACTTTGCTATTTTACTCTTTGGGTAACTAAATAGGTGGTGAGTGATACCTAGTGAGAATTTTTTACTACCACTATCTATATATATATTAGTACCCATTTTGTTAGTATTACCATTTTGCTTGTTCTATTTTATACAATAAAGTATTTTATACTGAAGATCCATCATATTTTTTGCATTCTGGGGATATTGAGACATTTAGGTATCTGTGGCACCCAAGAGCCTGTTATATAGAGCCTGTGACAGCTCTGGGCCATGTGAGTGATATGCATTTTCTGTTTTTAGGCTACCTGTGGTAACCTGTGTTCTTCATCTTTATGGATATATGTTTGTATTGATATTTTATCTCTATAATATTTTCTGTGTCACAGGTTTTCTCCTGGCTAGTATAAACACAACATTTTGGTATATACTAAAATAATGAATTGTTCCTCTTGATCTAATTCTTGATATTTAATATATACATTTTAAGAAAACATAAAAGCAATGCCTCTTTTTTTTCTCTCTTCTAGAGCAGCATTTACAATAATTGGGTGTTTTTCTTAATTTATACTGATTTTGTCAGATTTTTTCCAGTGAGTTTCTTGAAGCACACAGATCTCTACTTGATTTCCCCCCAAGAAATCTAAAAATAAAGATATTTTGAACAATGTATTGATCCCACAGGCATTTATTGAAACTAGCTTAATGTGTTGGTTTCTATTTTTTTGTTACTTTTTACATTATTACAAATTAATATATAAAGTAATACATTGTTCATTTTACAGTCTGTTCAGCCACCTCATTTCATTCCTTAACAATTCAAATCATTTTGTATAAGCAAAAAACAGGGAGCGAGAGAATACTGAGAATGGACAGCAGCCGAAATAGCTTGTCCTTCGGTGGGTCCCCGCTCAGATCTCAAGCTGGTTTTAGCTCATCTTGTGCTATTACAGAAAGAACATCTCTGAAACATATCAGACTGGTCCCACCCATATAGGCAGTCCAGATCCAAAATGCCAGCAAGTTCCCTCTGCACGAGAGACACAGCAACCCCAGTCGATCGTTTCAGCCTTGTTAGGCATCATCAGTGAGGCATAGCTGATATCTCTCCAGGCATTTTGTATAAGCAACACAGTGGTCGTCCACAGCAGTAAATGATCACACAATCCTTTATACACATTTATATGTCTTACACTTATTCTATTTCTCAATCTAATGGTTTATACTCCCTCCTGTTCTATCTATATATTGGCTAGTTAGTATCGATTTTGGTCAAACTGTAAGTACGTCATTATCCATGGTGACTCTAAAACAAATATAATCAAAAACACAGAATAAATAATATAGAAAAACAAATAAGAACAAATAAAAACAAAAAATAGATAAAAACAAATACATGTGCTAATCCTTTTTTCCATAAGTTTGCAATTTCAACATTTTTTTTTTTAGCAAATCTATCCAGACAACTGTTAGTTCTTCTCCCCTTCTGCTGCCCCTATCAAATTTGAAATATTTTATCACTCAATAACACTATCTTCAGTGAGTATTGAATATCTTTATTCCTAATTGATTTCTCCTTGCTACCTACTTTTCAACTATCATTTTCCCCCAGATTTAAAAAAAAAAAAAATGGTTTGGTTACCTATTATCCTATATGCGATCTCCTCATAATTGTTTTGTATTAGAAATCTTTTCCTTTATTGTATGTATTGATGGCACTTGTGTTGTTTTCCATAAGCTAGCTATTGCAATTTTTGTGGCCATTAAGATATGTATCATCATTGTGGTTTCCTGCTTCAATAGCCTCTCTGGCATAATATGTAACAAATAGATATCTGGTTCTAGGGGCACCAAAATATTTGAAACATTAAATATCAATTGTTGAATATGTTTCCATATAGCAGTAATCATTTCACAGTACCAAAACATAAGGGGCATAGACCCCTCCGCTTCCCCGCACCTCCAACATATCTCCAAATTCCCTGGATATTCTTACCCATCTTTGGGGTGTCATATATCATCGTGACCATATTTTATATGTTGCCACTATGTGTTATGTACTGTGAGTGGTGACATTGGTCAGTCTCATAGCCCTATACCACTGCGAGGATTCCCATTCCTTGTTTAATTCCTTCTCCCATTCTAACATAAAATACAGTTAATCAGCTTTTGCTTTGTTTAATAATTCTCTTTAACCCCTTCAGACCGGAGGACGTACAATTCCGCCCTATTTTAGGCGTCTCTAAACGCCGCCGGGCGTAATTGTACGCCCTCCGGTTTTTGTTCACTTACCCGGTTGCCGGCGGTCCCACGCCGGCGATCGAGGTGGGGGGGACTCCCAGGGAGCCCCCCCGCTGCAGATCCTCCTCCTCCGGTGCCCCCCGGCCATGTGAGAGTGGGGTCCTTGCGAGGACCCCACAATCACATGGCCGGGTAGGCTGCCTCCTGCATTGCCAGCAGGGGGGCTGCCTGTAATAACAGGTGGTCCCCCTGCTGGCTGAAAATAAAATAAAATTTATTAGTGTAAAAAAAAAAAATATATATATATATATATATATACTTAGATCATATATATATATATGATCTAAGTATATATATATATACACATATACATACACACATACACTGTCTAGGTGTATTTTACTATATATATATATATATATATATATATATATATATATATATATATATATATATATATATATATTAATATCAAATTACACATAGACTGATATTGATTAAATATATATAATTATTGTTATATATATATTTATATATAATATAAAAAAATTAAATATGTAAATACGTTAAAAAATAAAATTAAAAAATTATTAAATTTTTTTTTTTTAAATGTATAGATGTGTTATTTCGTTCTAACTGTATTGTGATATTAATATATATATTTATATCAAAATACACATAGAACGAAATAATATATATATCTACATACATAAATATATCACTATATATATACCTATATATAAATAAAAATATTAAAAAAAATATATATAGACACATATAGATTCACATATGTATATATAGATATATTAATTCTACATATATATTTATGTAATATTTTTACATAATTAGGTATCTTAATTAATAATAATTAGCGGGACCTGCCTGACAACCCATGCCGAAAGTAAAGGGAATTTAATTTGCTAGCACTATATTTAACCCTATAACTTTCCAAGACACCATAAAGCCTGTACATGGGGGGTACTGTTCTACTCGGGAGACTTCGCTGAACACAAATATTAGTGTTTCAAAACAGTAAAATGTATTACAACGATGATATCGCCAGTAAAAGTGAAGTTTTTGCATTTTTCACGCACAAACAGCACTTACACGGACGATATTATTGCTGCGATACTTTTTACTGTTTTGAAACACAAATATTTGTGTTCAGCGAAGTCTCCTGAGTACAACAGTACCCCTCATGTACAGGTTTTATGGTGTTTTCAAAAGTTACAGCATCAAATATAAGGCTTGCGTTTCATTTTTTTCACATTAAAATTCGCCAGATTGGTTATGGTGCCTTTGAGACCCTATGGTAGCCCGAGAATGAAAATTACCCCTATGATGGCATACCATTTGCAATAGTAGACAACCCAAGGTATTGCAAACGGGGTATGTCCAGTCTTTTTTAGTAGCCACTTAGTCACAAACACTGGCCAAAATTGGCGTTTTTTTGCATTTTTCACACACAAACAAATACTAATCCTAACTTTGGCCAGTGTTTGTGACCAAATGGCTACTAAAAAAGACTGGACATACCCCATTTGCAATACCTTGGGTTGTCTACTATTGCAAATGGTATGCCATTATGGGTGTAAATTTAATTCCTGGGCTACTATAAAGTCCCAAAGGCAACATAACCAATCTGGTGAATTTCAATTTCAAATGTAATGTGCTATATTTGACCCTGTAACTTCCCAAAGCGCCATAAAACCTGTACATAGGGGGTACTGTTTTACACGTGAGACTTTGCTGAATACAAATATGTGTATTTTATTGCAGTAAAAGCAAACAGTATTATGACATTGACAGTTAAAATGTCACGTAGAACTAAAAAAGATAAAAAAAATCTTATTTTCTCCCATTATTTTCATATTAAATTATGTTTCATAGCTAAATATTTGATATTAAATGAAAGCCCTGTTTCCCCTGAATAAAATGATATATAATAAGGGTGGGTGCATTTAATATGAAAGAGGTGAATTACGGTTGGACAGACATGTAGCGCAAATGCCAGGTTTTGTTTACATTTTGTTTCGTTCACAACGTGTACATTTGGCTCAGTCCTTAAGGGGTTAACATATTGAAAGAGCTTGGGATCTCCCCTCGAGGCATAATTTACTAAATTATCACCTCTACCAATTAAAATTTTATTAAAATGTGTTTCATTCTGAAATATGTATATAGCTCCCTATTATTTAATCCGTATTTGGTTTGTATATCTGGGAATTGATATATATTCGTACCTGTTATTAAATGTTGAACTTTTATCCCATTTTTTCTCCATGTTGATACATTTAAATCTTTTGTGTAGTAAATTAGACTTTGCAAAGTTCCATAGTAAATATAGTTATCTTTTCTCAAACGTTTAGGGACCCAATTCCTCTACATCAACAAAGATGTTTGTGTTGCGGATATAAAATTAAGATTTGCAGATTCTGCTCGGTGTGCTACCCACATAAGGTTTAATATCTCATGGCAATAGATTGTTCTATTGTATGCCATAGTGGTGTGTTGTTCTTATCTATTAGCGCCAATGTTTCTGCAAGTAAGGATGCTCTATAATATTTCTGAATGTGCGGTACTCCCATACCACCCTCTGTGATTTTATGGCTCATTGTGTTTAATTATATCCTTAGGGGTTTACGTTTCCAGTTGTGTGCATTTATAATATTCTGGAATTTTGTTAAAATTAACTTAGGGATCATTATTGTTATAGTTCTAAAAAGAAAAATAATCTGTGGTAGGATGCACATTTTAATGGAAAATTCATCCCACCCATTAGGTAGTGCCCTGGTCCCAATGCTGTAATGTGTCTTGTACCTCTCTCAATAATTTGCAATGATTATTCTCTATCACAACCTGTTTCGAAACTGACAGCTGAATTCCCAAATATTTTATCGAATTCTTTCTCCACTCAAATGGGTATTCCGTTTTCAACAACTGCATTGTTGATTGGCGCATATTTCTAGGTAAAGCTTGGGTTTTAACAATATTGTTTTTATAATATGTAGGGTTGTAAAAACATTTGTCTTCTTTGGCAATTTGGACCAATGGCATTCGGTTTGGTTCAGAACTTCGGTAATTAGGATCCTAACACTAACCCCTAACCACTTGTTTTGCCCCTTGCCCCTAACCCTAACCACTTGTTTTGCCACTTTTTAGAAATCCAAAGCACTTCTGCAATTCGGAACTTCGGACATTTGTAAGCATCCAAATGTCCGAGTTACATGTAAGTCGTCTGAATGTACATTCAGAATTAAACTAATTGCACATGGGTAATAATATGACACTGTGCCATAATCTTTCAATAAATCCATTAGCGATTTTATTGCATTATATGGCTTTGTGAGTATTATCAGGACATCGTGCACAAATTAAGCAAGTTTTTGGGACCCATATGTGTGCTTAATCCCGTTATTGGATCATGTTTTATTATTTTATATGCTAAAGATTCAAGGGTCAAAATAAAAAATAATGGAGAGAGAGGACAGCCCTGTCTCGTGCCATTAGCAAGACAGAACTTTCGTGATACAAACCCTGAGTTTACAACTCGATCAAGTGCCACCAGAAGTCCCTCAATTTTTTGTCTTTTCATTATTTCCAATATATCGATGAACCTTCTGGTATTGTCATCCGCCTGTCTCACTGGCAAAAAGCCTGTTTGTCCTCCTCCTATCAATTTAGACCGTAGTGGTTTTAATGTTAATGCCATAACTTTTACAAACAATTTTATATCTGCATTAAGCAATGGTATATGTCTTAGGCTAGCTCAGCTAGAGGGTGATTTTTCTGGTTTAAGCAATGTAATTATATTGGCTTCCAATAGTTCCGGATGCATCTCTCCTGAATCTAAGATGCAATTAAAAAGGTTTATAAGCTTTGGTATCATTTCCTTTGCAAATTTAAAATAATAGTTAGGGAACCCATCTGGGCCTTGCGCTTCATGTTTTTTGTTTTTTTTATTGCCTTCCATACTGCCTCTGCTTTTTTGTGTTGTGTTGGTTTCTAATAGCTCTTGGGAATCTTTCTCTAAATCTTTCCTTAGGTTTACAAAGAAATTAAATATTGTTACATTATTCAAAGGTTACAAAAATAGACAGGTTGTTACAAATTATTGGAGCCAACCGAAAACACAAACCCATACAATATCCAGAGTACAAAAATCCATTACTCGGATAGATGTTCCAACTATTAACGTATTTGAACTAGTAGACTTTCGAGGGAAACATTTGTATGAAAAAGAAAGACACCCACAAAATAAACTCTACCTAATACAAAACCAAATTATTACATGAGTTGCGCCATAATTAAATAATTTCCTCATGTCCCATACCACGCTCAGATTCTTTGTTGGTTGCTGCACTATATGATTTCTTTCTGCACAAAATATTTTCTTTTGCACATTATATTGGTAAATGGAAAAAAAAAATTTGGGCAAGATTAGTGTGTTTTCAATTTGACTTACTCATGTTAAAATAGCACTTAAAGTGATACACGCACAATATTTTTAACATTACATATTAGAACTTTAATACGTTTTTAAATTAATAAATTTTGTGTGCCCTTGTTTTTTCACTTCTTTATCTTGCTTTTGTAAAATTTGCCCTTCTGATTTGAAGAAATGTGTCACTGAAAAAAACAGCAAATGTTCTGCCAGAAAACAATAAAAAAAAGAAAGAAAGAAAGAAAGAAAGAAAGAAATGAGGGGAAATGAAAAATAAATTGAGGTTTCCTATACTTATCCAGAAGGGGCGTGGAGATATGTTCTCTCCTAAGGATGAGACTAATAATATGCTGTGTTGTCATAACAAAATATCAGTGTGACTAGAAAATCCAGCTAATTACACTAACCTTGTAACACGTTACCGCATAGCTGGTGAGACTTTGTTTAAACCAGCCAACAAGCTGGATCGATCTGATTTTGTGTGTGGTTATTTTTTTTGTTTTGTTTCTTAAATTTGCATCAGAATATTCATGCACATCAGTAGACAATGTCTGTTTGGTGAGTAAAAAGTATTGTTTTTTCCAACGTTAATAGTTGTGGAAAAAATAATGCCTAATCCTCTAGGTCAGTGTTTCCCAACCCAGTCCTCAAGGCACACCTACCAGTCCAGGATTTAGGGATTACCCAGTTGTGTCTAAGGTGTTTTTACAAAGAAGAAAAAAAACACCTTAGACACAACTGGGTAATCCCTAAATCCTGGGCTGGTAGGTGTGCCTTGAGGACTGGGTTGGGAAACACTGCTCTAGGTGTTGTGTGATTGTAAGTGAGTATGTATGAGATTATAGTTTGTGTTTACAGGGAATATAGTATATTTATAGGGGATGTAGTGTATGTGCATAGGTATTGCACTTTGTGTGTATGTGTATTGGGGCACGCTTTGTGTATGGTGGTGTAGTTTATTTGCATAAAGTGTGTACTGTGTTATTAAAACAAAAAGGACATTCAATGTAACTTTTTACATGCCAATACCCTGTGATCCAGTGGCCTGTGCAGGCCATGAATACCTCTCTCACAAGCTCTAGTACTTGTGTCAAAGAGTTGCTGTGATATTCTGTGGCTATATTCTAATTTGCCAAAGCTCAGGAGACAGGTAGACCACAGACTGCCAGGATACCTCCCCACCTCCCCCAGCAATAGAGAAGGGCAGACTGTCTGCAATAGCAAGCTACCAGACCCCTCCCGGTGTCGGGACCTCATTCCATAACGGAGTGCATAACCGGTCAGCCTGCCCCTGTCTTTGACTCAGTCATGTATTTAAAGGGGAAGGCTTGAATTTTAAATAGGCAAAAAGTGCTGTGACAAATATCAGCTCTGTGCATCTAATTTTATGTAAGGCTTCTTTATGAGTTGATGAGGCTCTCTGATCCAGCATTCCTTAAATAAACATACCTGGTGTCAAAACATGAATACAACTCCTTATGCTTTGCCTACCTATATTCTAGGCAACACATTTTTTTCAATTGAATGTGATGACATAGTAACATGGCAGGGCCAGTGTTGATGTAAAATTGATACTTCTTCCAATAACATAGCAATTTGTCTGTATTACCAAACAGTACACAATTTAATTACCATCTGCATCATATATATATATTTTTGATTCTTTATTTTTGTTGTGCTGTGCAAGAACAAGTATAACATGTCATACTTTTTAAAGTCAACAGTAAAATCATATCTAGTACACAAGGCATGTAACGACAACAGCATATCTTTTAGATTAAAGAAGTAGTTCGTGCTAGCTGTAAACATAAGACAGCTTAGTGAGTAGAGCAAGCATGTCAAACTTGCATGCGGCCCACCATGGACATCTTTGCTGCCCTGCGAGCCGCAAGTACATGCTTACTGTTAAAGCCAAGTAGGTACCTGCTTTCTCCACATTGCAGGTGCCTACTCTGCAGAAATCTACCTGGCCGGGGAGGAAGCAGGATGCTGGCGGCAGCAAGGGAGCTCAGTCTTCCTGCTCCTCACTGTTCCCTTGCGCTCGCCGTCTGTAGCCGTCTAAACTGCATGCAGAGGAGCAGTGAGGAGCCGGAGGGAGACCTCCCGAGAGTAGATCCCCACTGGACCCCAGGGAATGATGTGAGTGTGTGCAACGATGTTTAAATGTGTGTTTGTCTGTGTGTGTCCGTCACTGAGTGAGTGTGAGTGTGTCTGTGTGTGTATCAGTGAGTGTGTCTGTGTGTGTGTGTATGTATGTGTGTCTGTCAGTGAGTGTGTCTGTGTGTGTGTGTGTCTGTCAGTGAGTGTGTGTCTGTGTGTGTGTTGATCTGTCAGTGAGGCACCTCCAGGACGCGACGTTGATGTGCTCCACCTTCACAGGGTTTCAAGCAGTAGCGTGAGGGTTCGCCTTGGCACAGGGTGCAGACAGCGCCACTTGGGGTATACCAGAGGCCGGACTCCGGAGTAGCATAGTGCCTGCGGCAATGTGAGTGGAGTCTGCTTGTTGGCTAGAGGGTGAGGACTGGTATTTAGTATAGATGGAGGACTGGGATTTAGTATATGGGGGGACTGGGATTTAGTAGAGGGGAATGCTGTTTTTTTTTTTATACTGTACATTTCAAAATATTCCTACGTTTCTATGAAAATGTAATTTAAAAAAAAAAAACTTAAACCTTGTTTATTTGGCCCGTGCTAGACTTTGAGTTTGACATGCTTGGAGTAGAGCATATGCACTGAAAGGAGTTGCTGAATGAGAAATGAGAGATAGATATAGAATATTTTCATCAAAGAGTGAAACCCTCAGGAGGCACCCCATTTAGGTAAGAACTAAATGTCCTGCATGCAGATAGGGATAGACAGGCAGGAACTCCAGATGCCACTCTGAGATACATTGCTAGAGAGAGAGAGCGTCCCATGTTCGCAACTGAAAGCAACATGGCCCTTACAAGGGATGGTTTCACACCTTCCACACAGCCTTGCCTTGTGGACCCTCAGGTATGGTGGCAGACTTTATGCTCCGCTCCATGGGTCTCAGCTGGGTGTCCGCTGCTGATTTGCACTATATTTTGTATTTTCTCTTTTTGTTTTTTAGGTACTGAACAATTTTCTGTGCATATTAATACAAACATGGGGTAAGTTATCCCCTTATGCTTGCACTTTAGCACTCCACTACAGGTATAAGTACCATTAGAAGGGGTATAATTGCATGACGTGGATGACGTGATGACGCTCACGCTGGGAGGGAAGGAGCTGGGACCGGACCGGACCGGAGAGATCGGAGGGAAGAGAAGGCGAGATGCTAAGCCAGTAACGCCATTGCCACCTTGCTAGCATGGAGCCTAGGCAGGCTGATATTTATCTTTCCAACTGACCCAGCAGCATGATACCAGACAGGATGACAGCTAAATGATCCAGGCGGACATCCAGGTTGATACCTGATTGAGTGAGATTGCTTCCCTTTTTTTTTCTTTATTATTTTTTTTTTGGCATGTTATGCCAAAAGGAAGATATAACACGGTGAATAATTGCTGCACATAGCAAGACTTTCTCAACGTTTTTCAGCAATAAATAGTACAAAAACCGAAATAAAACATGTGAGACCTTAGAATGGCATAAAAGGCATGTTATGTTACTGGATGGTCTCGTTGACTCAGTTTCACATATATAACACACATACAGCTGATACTGATTGATTGCCCTGGGCTACCTAGAACATAGAGGGGAATCAGTAAAAAAATTTTTTTCTGTTTTCCTCCTTCTTACTAGTTTAAAATAAGTTTTCCTGTCGGCATACTCTCCTTTATTTCATAAATTTAAAGTGATATGTCTTCCAAAAAAGCTCAAGAGAGTAAAGTTTTAACAAAAGCTGATAAGAAAGGCCAGAAGCAAGAAAAAAGATTATCGGCTTTTTTTGTCCCACAAGATAACCAAGAATGCTTGGAGCAATCATCTTTGGAATCTCTTCATACAGGGGTTTCTGTTTCACCTATTAAAGTTATGGATAAAGAAGTAGTTACTCCTACTTTTTTAAAGAAATGTTTGGAAGATTTTTCTAAAGATATTAAAAAAGATTTGAGTGATAAATTTTCTGATATAAAAATGGACTTAGCTGTGTTAAAGTAACGTATTCATAAACTAGAAGAAAAGGAAGAAGATATAGTATTCCAGCTTCAGGCAGTAAAGGACACTCAACTCAAGACGGAATTAAAAATGAAAGAAATGGAAGACAAAATGTGTGAGCTGGAAGACAGATCAAGAAAGTTGAACATAAGGTTCAGAAATATACCTGAGGAAATATCAAATGCTCAACTATATGATTTTTTAATAAATTATTTTAACTGTTTGGGGATCCTTACGGCACAGCAAGATATAAAGATGTCTCGGTACCACCGTCTTTCCTATAGAAAGAAAGATCAGCTGTATCCACGTGATGTTATCGCAGCGTTTGTTTCATATGATCTCAGGACTCAGATCCTTCAGTCAGCGAGGAAGATGAAGATAAATGATGAAAAGTTTACAGCAATAAAAGTGCTAACAGATGTCTCTTATCTAACGAGGCAAAGAAGAAATTCATTTTCCACGGTCTTTCCGTATCTGAAGAAATTCAACTTAAAGTTTAAATGGACCGCTCAATCAGTTTTACTAATTTGTTATAACGATATTTGGAAGTCTTTCAAGTCAGTAGATCTGGCTCATGTCTGGTTAAAAGATATCGATATGTAGTTTTAGGTATTAGTCTGTCAGGCGATGTGATGTGTTCGTGCTCTTGCATGGAAAATAGAGGGTAAGGGAGGGGGAAGAGATAAGAGGTTATACTTTTTTTTTTTTTTCCTCTCATGTGGAAAAGGTCATGGGACTTAAGAGCGTATTTACAATCCCTCTAAAGGGATAACTTGTGGTAATATTTTAATTTGGTGATATCACGGTAATATATATGAGAGCACAAGAGTGAATATATGCCTAGGTTCTAAGATTGTATTTATAATGCCCTTAATAGGGATAATATGTGTAGTAGTTTATAATGGTAATATTGGAGCAAAGATTCTGATGATAGCACCACAAATAGTAAACTACTTAGAATTGTTTGGTTTTTATATTTCAGAGGTTGAGAGTGTATACACAATGGTCCTATCAGGGATAATAGAAAAATTAAGGGAAATATCAGGAGTGGTGTAACAAATAAAGAGTAATTTTCTTTTTTCACGTGAAAAAAAATCTTGGTGTTATCACCAGAAATATATGTGATCACAAGGGTGATTAGAATTCTGGGAGTTAAGAGTGTATTTAGAATGCCCTAAATGGGAAAAATTTGTGATGTAGTTTATATTGGTAAGAATGGTGTAAAGATCTTGATGATAGCACTGTACACAGTAAATTATTTAGAATTATCTATTATTAATACTTTAGAAGTTGAGAGTGTACTCACAATGGCCCTCAAAGGGGCAATAGGAAAATTAGTGATATTACTGGGAGTGGTATAATTAATATAGAGTACTCCAATTTAGATATATATTTTGAACGGTGTAGGTTTTTGACAATTTTTAAGCGAGATTTTCATTATGGACTTTTTTTTTCTCTTCTTCCACCTCTCTTTCTTTCTCGTTATAAGAAATTCAGTGTTTCCATGCTCATTCCTGTGGGAGTCTATGGGATTCTCAGTATGTGGAATATTATTTTTGGTATTCCAGCTGTTTATGTAGATTTTATTGTCTTATTGTTGTATTGTCAGATGTGTAGTATGTTTAACTGGTCTCATGTGTTGCAGAAGTGGTCAAGGAGCCCTAAGAAGAAATATAGATTAAGTGATGGTTAGAATCTTAACTATTAATGCCCAAGGCCTCAACTCTCCTCTTAAACGAGGATATTTGTTTAATACCCTGGTTAATCAGAAAATCCAAGTAGGGTTTATTCAGGAAACCCACTGGTTAGGGGAAGCTAGAAAAATATGGTTTTACAAAAAATATCCTGTGATTTATTCTGCTTCCTTAAAAGGAAAAAAGAAATGTGGTGTATCTATAATCTTTTCTAGAGAAGTTATCTTTGATTGCTGTTATAATCATCTAGATCCGGAAGGGATTTTTATTATTTTAGTGGGTCAAATGTATGGGTTGGATTACACTCTGGTCAATGTATATTTACCTAATAAAGATCCAATTAAAACATTGACGAAAATCTTGGTCTGGTAGAACAGGTTAAAAAAGGTAGAGTCATTTTCGCAGGCGACTTTAACTGCATTTTTTATACCTTTTGGGATAAACAATTGGCTAAAAATCAGAAGATAGATAAATCTCTTAAAAAGCAGGCAGCGTCGTTAAGTAGAGTGATTAAGAAAGCGGATATGTTCAACTGTTGGAGATTGTTTCACCCCAATGAAAGAAATTTTATGCACAGATCTATCCCTCATAATTCGGGAAATCTAAATTTAGTTCAGGCAATTTCTTTAATTTCTATCGTTGAAAATACTTGGTCTGACCATGATATGGTAATCGCAGATCTGGCGGAAATTAATAAGAGACCTCTGCAGATCTGGAGATTGGCAGATTATTTGCTAAAAAATAAAGCAAATGTAGAACACATAGAGAAGTTAATTGATTTCTTTATTAAGGAGAATTAATCTGATGATGTATCTAAATAATGTTTATGGTCCTCCTGTAAAGTAGTCATCAGGGGATATTAGATAAAACTTGCAAGTTTCCAAAAAAGGAATGTAGACAATATTTTGTCTGATCTCTATATTCAATTTTATAATCTCTCTAAAGCTAATAAACAATTCTACTCTGAAGAGAGAGCCTTAGCTATTAAAGTCTACCAAGAAAAGAGAAATGATCAGATTAAGAATAGGGTGAAACGTAATCTAAATAAGTTAAATATTAAATATTACTATAAGAACAACCGGGTAGACTCAGTCTTAACAAACAAACTGAAGAAAAAGATGACTGACCATAAGATCTCTAAATTAAGAGATGGAATTAATTACATCTATAAGCCTGAAGAAATTGCCAGTAAATTTAGAGATTTTTATCAAAAACTTTTAAACCTGAATAAATCCCCCGACCTAAGTTTGTTGGACAATTATTTGGAAAATTCTATCTAAGTTATCTAATGACTAGATGGTGAAACTTAATAGAAATATATCTCAACATGAAGTTGAGTTAGCAATTGATAAGCTTGTTAATAGTAAAGCTCCTGGACTGGATTGGTATACGAATTTGTTTTTTAAGGTTTTTAAAAGACAATTACTTCCGTTGTTAACTGATACATTTAACGAATTGGCAATCAAAGGGAATGCATCTCAAGATTTATGAAGGGCACATATTACTCCAATTCTGAAACAGTGCAAAAGTCCAGATGATGTGAGTAATTACCGTCCTATTTCTCTGGTTAATGTGGACATGAAACTTTATGCCGCAATTTTAGTGGCACGCTTGAAAACACTTTTGCCATCACTTATACATAGGGACCAGATAGGTTTTATGCAGGGAAGGCACTCCTCAAATAACACCCGTAGGGCTCTGGACATTATAGAATGGGCTCAGGTTGAAGGAACCCCCCTTCTGACCCTGTCGGTGGACGCAGAAAAAGCTTTTGACAGGGTCGGATGGGGGTATCTGAAGAGAACCTTGTTACAGTTCGGTTTCGAAGGGTGGTTTTTGAATGCGGTGGGAGCTATATATTCGAATCCCTCTGCCCGTATAGTAGCCCGTGATTTATGCTGAGATTGGTTCTATATTAATAATGGGACAAGACAGGGGTGTCCTCTCTCGCCTTTATTATATGTCTTATCAATTGAACCACTAGCAAATAATATTAGACAAAATGCTGGGATTAAAGGATTAGGAACTCAACTTGATGAATGGAAGATATGTTTATATGCTGATGATATCTTAATTTCTATTACGGATCCACTGGTCTCTCTTTCTCATTTAATGCAAGAATTTAACAACTATAGTAGTGTTTCAAATTATAATCTGAACACAAATGAAACAATAGCTATGCCGATTAATATACATAAAGATAATTTAATTTCCCTAAAGAAAGATTTTGACTTTAAATGGACAGTTTATATATTTAGGGGTGATTATAACTGCAGATATAAGACGGACTATGGAAATTATTTTTTTGAAATTGTTAAAAGAGACTAATATGTTATTAAAAGACTGGAGAGTGCATGAAATCTCCTGGTAGGGAAGGATAAATACTATCAAAGCCTATATAATTCCTAAATGGGCATACCTATTCAGTATACCAAGAATTAGTACATATACTCTATCAAGGAAGGCCCACCAGGGGGGATTGGGTTAACCCCTAGTTAATCAAATCGATCAGGCTAATATGCTTGTTCATGCCAGTAATTTACAACTAAGTGATTCTATAGACCAAGCTTGGTATAAAATTGAGGCAGCCAGCCTTGGTTTAGATAATCTTGAATTCCTCTTATGGAGAGAGGCAAGTCAGAATAAGCATTTGTGCGAGATTAGTTCTCATTTTCCTTTGTCTCTATCACAGACATTAAAAGAATGGACTAATATAAAGAAGAAGTTGAATATTAATAAAAAAAACTATATGAGAACCTCAGTCTAAGGTCCTTAGAATGTTTTATGCTAGAGATAAATCTGACGAACTGGTTTAAAGATCCTAATTATAAGATAAAAGATCTTTGTAATGATCACCAATTGAAAAGCTTTGAAGTTAAGAAAAACTGGTTAGATTTACCCTCTAGAGAATTATAAAATTTTCTTCGTATTAAGAGCTATTTGAAAGATAACATATTGGTATTAGACGGCCGTTTTGGAAAATTGTTTAGGAAACTTTTTTCAGGGTGTAAGGTTAAAAAGATATTCTCTATTGCAGTTGAACTAATAAAAATGAAGGGGACTCCATTTATCCCCAAAGCTTTAACCAAATGGGAAACTGACCTAGCAATATCCATTCCATTTAATAGTTGGTGTAAATCCTTTATGAGGACTAAAAAAAACATTCATTGCCTGAATATTCTAGAGACTTTCACTAAAATATTGTATAGATGGTACTTGGTACCGACTAGACTTGCTAAAATATCTATTACTAATCCATCTAATTGTTGGCGGTGTCTACACCCAGATGGTTCTATGTTTCATATATGGTGGACCTGCCATCGAATTAAGTCTCTTTGGAGTATTACATTTGAATTTATATATAGAATTGGAGGTATACAGTTGGAACACAAACCGGAAATTGCCTTACTCCATTTTATGGGCTTAGAAATAAAGGATAATCTCGATATTGTGATTATACATTGTTTAATGGCTACCAAAATATTAATTGCTAGATTTTGGAAAAGCACTGATATTCCTACTAGAGATCAAGTTAAAGCCCAACTCTTATTCCAAGTCGAGATGGAAAAGGGGTTAATTTACATGAGAGAATATCCCAATTTTAATATTTTAATGTTTTATTCCATTCTTGTTGAAAAAATTAAAGGGCTTCAATGAGTTTGAGGAGGTGGGGTTACTCTCTATGATCACCTTATGCCTAATTGATGATTTCTTAGTGGGCACTACTACGGGGCTCCTTGACCACATATTTGATATTAGCTAATGTAATATTGGATCTGCAATATATCTGACCGCTTCTGGACCATGATATCCCTTCTCTGGGATATTAATGTTAGTATATTATTGTGTACTAGACGGCTTATTTCTGATGTAATTTGAAATAGATTAATATACCTTTGTATGTCTAATGGGGATAGGAGTCCTTATTTTTTTTTCTGTAAGGTTCCTTTCCCCAGATGTTGTTATGTCTATCAATATTTCCATAAAAAATTTAATAAAAATAAATTAAAGTAAATAGAAGGGGTATAATTGCTGCAGTGTGTGGGGAAGAGGGTATCCTGCACTAATGTGTAGAGCTGCTATTTTTATACGTAAAGCACTTTTTGAAGTAACACACTTTCTCCTTAACCCCTTCCTGACTGCGAACATATCAGGTACGTCCGACAAAAAACGTCCTTTAGGACAGCGAACGTACCTGATACGTCCGCGGCTAATTAGAGCGCTGGTAGCAATCATGAACGCTTCCAGCCACTCTGATGGTTTTGCAGCGATGCCTTGATGTCAAGGTAGGGATTTGTAAAATTGTGAGACCCAAAGGCTCTTTTGAACGTCATTAACCCCTTTCTTGCCAGTGATCAGTGTATAGATCATCGGCTCTTGGACAGCAGCACTTATTTTGCTGTCTGTGCATTTTTTTAGGGGTTCATTTTTTTGTTATTTTTTTTTTTTGTGAGACCCAAAAGCTCTTTTCAGAGCTATTAACCCATATCCTGCCAGTGTTCAGTATATAGATCACCGGCTCTTGCACAGCAGCACTTATTTTGCTGTCTGTGCATTTTTTTTAGGGACTAATTTTTTTGTGTGGTTTTTTGTGACAGATCACTTAGTAAAGTGATTGTGATCATGTCACAGAGGTCGTATAGCACTGAGGAGGCATATGCCATCCTTGCGTTAAAGTCTGACACGTCTGTGTGTGACTCCGACCATGATTTTGACCCTGCCAGGTGCTCAGATGCATCATTAGATACAGTGTCTGCTGCTATTGATGTATCTAGTTGATGTATCTGTGGCTGCTAGTCCCCTGCCAGAAGGAGACGTGCTGCTCCAGCTGGGAGTACTGCTGAGGAGTGGGTAGTGCCTCATCGCCAGAGGCAAATCCTGGCATCAATTTGGATGTCACAAGATTTATCCCTCAGCAGTTTATGGAGGTGTTTTTGGGCGATGATGTATTGGGGTCACCCAAAACTAATTTATATGCCGATCAGTTCCGTGCTGCAAAACCTGACTCTTTTTGCAAAGCAGCAATGGGCCCCCATCGATGTGCCATAATTAAAAAATTTCTGGGCATTGACTATGCTGATGGGCATCATAAAGAAGCCCTCCATCCACTCCACCCCTATTTACTCCCAGTGTATATCGAGGAAGAGGTATGAAATGATTCTACATTTCATGCACTTCAGCAACAACAGCCTGTGCCCCCAAGGGAGCATCCCCAGTTTGACAGGCTGTATAAAATCCTCCCCCTGATTACCCACTTGCCAGGTTTGCAGAGGCTTATACACCTGGAAGGAATATATGTGTGGATGATACCCTGATGAAGTATAAGGGAAGGCTGGGATTCAAGCAGTATATTCCTTTCAAGCGTTTTAGGTATGGTGTAAAGGTGTATAAGCTCTGTGATAGTGAGACTGGGTATACTCAGTCCTTCCGGGTGTATGAGGGAAAGGATAGCCACCTTGTCCCTCCAGGTTGCCCAGAACATATGGGAACCAGTGGCAAAATTGTTTGGGATCTGATATTCCCCCGATGAACAAAGGGTACCACTTGTATACAGACAATTTTTTATACAAGTGTCCCTTTGTTCAAGCTACTGTATTGTTTTGATACAGTAGCTTGCAGTACAATAAAAAAGAACTGCACAGGTTTCCCAGGACAACTTGCACGCACCCGGCTATGAAGGGGGGAGACCTCAGCTCTGCGCAGAGAGGAGCTGTTGGCAGTTAAGTACAGAGACAAGAAGAATGTGTACCTTCTTACCACCATCCACACTGAGAGGACTGTGGAGGTCTTTGTACGTGGCAGAGCTGAGAGCACAAGGAAGCCAGTGTGCATTAAGGCCTATAACTGGCATATGGGTGGGGTTGATCTTGCAGATCAGCTGCTGCAGCCCTACCTAATTATACAGAAGAGAAAGGCCTGGTACAAAAAGGTTGCAATCTACTTAATGCAGATTGCAACCCACAACGCTTTTTTTTGTTGAAAAAAGCAAACCCCGGAATGCAACTGAGTTTTTTACAGTTTCATCTCCAAATCATTTTGGAGATTTTTAACCGTGATGCACCTGCTCCCCAGGCGGTGATGGGGCTACACATTTTATTTTTAAAATCCCCCCCCCTACTGCGGCAAAGCAGAATTCTCCCCAAAAAATGCAGAGTCTGTTTTAAGAGGGGGCAGAGAAAAGATACCGTATATTACTGTCCTGATTGCCCTGGACACCTTGGACTCTGCATTGGGGATTGCTTCAAACGATACCACACACTGGTGCATTTTTTATTTATTTTTTTAACATTTGCCGTTCAGGTTTTTTTTGGTTACATTTACCCTATGTATGGGGGGCATGGGTGTACTCAGGAGGCCTTGCAGAAAACAACCTGGAGTGTTTTCTTACAATAACAACAGGTTATCCTAAATCAGTCAAAAAGCAATGTGCGTGTAAAAATGAAAAATTACCACCACACACTTTCTCCAATTTTTTAAGCTACAATGGTTGCATCAAAGCACTCCACATACAATACCTCGGGGTGTCTACATTTCAAATATGTACACTTTCATGGCAATAAATAAAACTGGGGTACGTGATAAGCCCCAAACTAAAGATAGGCCTATCATAAGAAATACTCTCAATTTCAACTCAAATTACAAGTCATACAATTGTAACTGAACCTTCCCAAAATCCTGGCTAAGCTATGCACTGGGGGCATGGGTGTACTCAGGAGGCCTTGCAGAAAACAACCTGGAGTGTTTTCTTGCAATAACCAACAGGCTCCCCTAAATCACACACAAATGTGTGTGTAAAAATGAAAATTGAAAAATTACCACCACACATTTTCTCTAAATTTTTTGAGTAAAATGATTGCATCAAAGGCATCAAAATACTCCATATACAATACCTTGGGGTGTCAGCTTTTCAAATATATGCACGCTCGTGGCAAGAAAAGAAATTGGGATATCTAAAAAAGCACCCAAAAAGAAGATAGGCAAAGAAGATATGTCAAATTTGAAAAACACATGTCAGGCGTTTGGCATTGCACCCTCAAACAACCCAACAAATCTATGCATAGGTGCTATCACGGTACTCAGGAGATGTTGCTGAACACATATTGGGGTGTTCTTTGGCAGTGGTTTGATGGGAGTAAATTACATTGGCCGGCTTTAAAAATGTCCCAAATGGGACATGGGTGCATGATGGCCAGCTGTGAAAATTCCAAGTTGGAAAACTGGAAGGCACCCCTTCAAATAAGGTCTTTTAGCCCCCAGATAACCCAACACACCTGTACATGGGTGGTATCACTGTACTCACGAGATGTTGCTGAACACATATTGGGGTGTTCTTTGGCAGTAACACCTACCAGGAGCTGGGAATCCATGCCTAAAATAGAATGTGTGTGAAAAATAACACAAAAAAATGACTACCCAAACGTTTGACAAAGCCTGGTGGTAGAATTTGTGCATGGAAAGTGTTAAAATACCACCATTTGAAATACCCCAGGGTATCTACTATTTAAAAATATATGGTTTGGGTGTGGGGGGGAGGAGCGATGACGTAGGACGCACATGACGTATGGGATGTGCACGCCTACACTTGCTGCGATGCTGTGACACTAAGAAAGAGACCGGAGGAGATATCGGTGAACCACTGCTTGCTTGCTCCTTTCCCTGAAGAGACCCGGAGAGACGTCAGGGAGATAATAGAGAGACATACAAACAGATCCCCTGAATAATAGCAGACTAGATGCGGGGCAATCCGCAATAATATTCAGCGTTCCACGTGGCTTACTTTCTGAAAGTGGACAGGGGGGAAAGAAAGAAAAGAAAGGAAAAAAATATACAAAAAGAGATAATGCCAAGCATGCAGAAACAGAGCAGAATCTGTGATGAAAGATTAGCGGAAGAAATCTAAACCCAGATCATTGGAGACGAGCTCTGTTACTGCTTCACTACAACTAAGCTAAAGCTAAGTAAAAAAAAAAGGAAAGGCAAAGAGATAAGCAAAAGAAAAGATGCAAGTGAGGATCCAGATTTAAAACAATAGCACATATATTATTAAAGCCTTAGGGGTTAGTGTTGAATTGCTAATCCCATTAAGAGCAGCAAGCAGTGGAAGACTCAGAAAAGAAAGAGACCCCTTATTGAGGCAACGTAAGGGATTTTGCTTCGATTAATTTATCATGGCTCCAAAAAAAGCCCAAGAAAACAAGCAATTTCTTAAGAAGGAGAAGGAAAAAAAAACCCAGGAGAATAAGACAGAAAAGCGGCTATCCTTTTTTACTTTGCCTCATTTACAAAGACAAGAAACAGATCATCAGAAAGAAATGGATATTTCGATATAAGCAGGTAAAGAAACAGAATCAATGACACCAGATTATATCTACTAAACAGCTTCCAAAGGAGATCATTCAGGATTATTTACACAAATACCTGGATGCATGTTTTGAACGTCAACTAGATAAAATTAAAAATTTAATTCAAACTGGTCTCACAAAAAAGAGAGCAAGGAACACAACGTTCCAAGTCCCTGTATAGCCGCCGCACCCACCACCTCAAAACCTCCCCAAAAGGGGGGCAGTGGCTGCAGGGGTCACGCAGAGACAAACGTACCAGTATGAGACTCCAGCTGTCTCAGAGGGGCTTAACCCCAAATATAAACACAAGAACAAAGAAATATGCAGACCGTCTCAATTATATGAATGAAACTTACTGCATTGACTGGAAGAAATATATCTATGTATAGCGCGATGTTCCAAATATAGAACCTGGCTATTAGAAATAATATGGTCAGAGACCCTAATTAAACAAAGTATATACAAGTGAACCTACAATCCTATGCCAGCCCAGGGTAGTATAGATCAAGAGGTAGTAAAAAAGATAACCTCACTCCCCCTTATAATTAAGCTTTATTGTGATCTGCTATAGGGATAGGAGTATACAGTAGCTAAGTCTCTATAATCCATGCATCCTAGGAAGTATCCTGGTCACACTAGAAACATATTAAGAAAAACAGAGAGAGATAAGGACTGAAAATAGAAGTAAAAAAATCAGTCAAAACAGACTGATAATTAGCATTAATAAAGCCTCTCTCCCTGTAAAGCTAGCTAGATAGGCATAGGAAAGAAAAGAAGAAAACGATATAAAATAAAGTTAAATTAAATGGTGATCATGGTGCTCCAAACACCAGTGCCCAGTGCAGAAAAAACGCCCAACGTACGTTTCGGTGCAGAGAGATGCACCTTCGTCAGGGGCCAACAGATAACTGAAGAGAAGCCTCTTAAATACCCCAATTGCCAGGAAGCATGATTACCTTGTAGCCAATGGAGTGTGGGGGTGTATACCTCCCCAGCTGCCTCTAATATCCTGGCTATTCCTCTGTGATTGCTAATGCTCATTCATCTGTATGAAGGGGAAATCCCTCAGCCGGTCACGTGACCTGTGATGTCATGCGTCACGTGACATATCCGGCATTCTCCTAACAGGGGCGTGGCTCATTCATCATAGTGCTGCAGTACCGCCCATCCGAGCCTCTCCTGTCCATCATCCTCACATGGGTTGATCCCCTGTGACAGATGGGCGGAGCTAGGTATTCTCTGTGTATGGAGAAACCGAAATTGTCCAAATTAAGGCTCAAATTGATAAGCTGCATATTGATAATGTATCATTCCAAAGTACCAATGTGTACTATATAGGATGTACAGAATCAGCTGAAAATATAAGGCAGTGCTGATTACATATTATTCTAATACTGAATCTATTAAAGATGTAGTAAAGAATATGAGAGGACGCCCCAATAATAAGAGAAAAATTGAATGATAAGGGGTCCTGGGATGTTGTTAACTCCCACTCCCCCGTCCCAGGCAAGGATATATGATAATAAATATATGTAGTGTTCATAGGACCCATGCTAGGATGCAAAATTAGCATGGTACATCCTGCCGCTATATCCTGTACACTGAGTCACTTGACAATATGAACCTCTGAATGACCAGATATGACTTAGTCCGTAAAATAAAAATAATAATAATAAGGCTAGCATTCTTTTTGTCAAGAGGTCTTTAAACTTAAGGCACCTGAGGTTCCTAGTTGGTCTCCCATACAAGTACTAGCCAGGCCCAAGTCTGGATGGCTTCTGAGATCTGACGAGATCAGGCATTTTCAGACTGGTATGGCCATTGATATTTTCATTCAAGTGATCAGCAAGCTTGGTCTAGGAACATTATTGGTATTCTAGTCATTATATAGCTATTTCCTTGGGAGAATTCAAGCATTAGCAATTTAGTGGTCCTCATCCGGTAATCATGAGAATAAATTTATATGATAAAAAATAATATAAAAAATAATAATAAATAGAAAAGAATAGTGATAATAGTAGTAATAGTAATAAGCAAAGAATATACCCATTGTGGAACAAACCGCGCTATATTTACAAATTTACAAGTGTATCAGGCCATAAGGCTCACTCAGAATAGATTAGTGCAGAGATCACCCGCCGAGTACCACTGCCCGTATATAGGTCTGAGTCCCACACCTGGTATCAGTGATCTGCAATGAATGGTGTATATGAGAAACCTTCGTTAAGTCCCAAGGGTGACAGGGTTTTGAGCTTATAGATCCAGAAGCTCTCCCTTTGGAGTAGCTTCTTGTCTAAATCCCCCCCTCTTGGTCCCAAGGTAACCCTTTCAATACCACTAAATCTGATTCCTTCAGATGAGCCCCCATGATGTAGTTTCAAATGTTTAGAGATAGGGGTGTCGATTTGTCTTGTGGGGTTTACCGAATTGACATGTTCCCGTATCCTAAGTTTAAACATCCTAAAGGTTTTTCCCACATACAGTTTTTTGCACGAACAGGAAAGTAAGTAGATAAGCCCTTTGGACTGACAGTTAAAGAAATTCTTTACTTTGAATTCCTGTGTGCCGAGGGAGTCTGGGAATGTTTTGGAGGGTCTACGTATAAACCTACATGCCTTACATTTCCCACATTGATAGGTCCCTAAGACTGGGGACTTCAGCCATGATGTTTTCTGGGGTGTAGTCTTGAGGTGGCTAGGGACCAACATGTCCTTGATGTTGCGTCCCCTTCTTGCTGTTACTGAAGCCTTATGTGTGATTACCTTCCGTAAGTGTGGGTCTTGTTGTAAAAGGGGCCAGAATCTGTCCAAGATTTGCATCATTTGATGCCAGCCGGCATCAAAATTCCCTATACATCTTATGACTGCCTGTGATGGCTCTGGGTTATGTTCGATTAGAAGGTCTTTCCGATCTGACAGTAAGGCCCGTTTATAAGCGTGCTTTAAGCATCTATTCGGGTACCCCTTTTGTTTGAATTGGAGTTGTAAGGTCTTAGCCTTTAGTTTAAAATCATCCAATGTAGAGCAATTGCGTCTAAGGCGCAAGTATTGTCCAGTTGGAATCCCTTTCTTTAGGGAAGGGGGATGATGGCTAGACCAATTCAGCAAGTTATTAGTTGCCGTTGGTTTACGGAACAGAGTTGAGATGAGGCACCCTTCTTCTGTCAGCGAGATGGTGAGGTCCAGAAAATTAATTCTATTGCCACCAATTTCACTAGTCAGTTTGAGATTAATATTGTTAGAGTTGAGAGTGTGGACGAAGTCCAAAAACAGTTCCGAGGTATCTGTCCAAATGATAAACACGTCATCGATGTATCTTTTCCAGATTTTTATATGCTTTGTATATTTTACCATATGATCCGTGAATACCATTTGAGACTCCCACCACCCCAGGTGGAGGTTGGCATATGATGGGGCACAAGCCGTCCCCACCGCAGTCCCTCTCACCTGGTGATAATACTTTCCCTGAAAGGTAAAGTGATTGTGTGTTAAGATAAATTGCATCAGATCTTGGACGAATTTATTGTGTCTTAGTGATATTACTGGTTTACTGTCCAAGCTAGCTTTCAGATGTTCTAGTCCAACTTCATGTGGAATCGAGCTGTACAGGCTCTCCACATCAAGGCTACATAAAATAGCGTGACCACTAATTTTTGTTCCTTCGATGATACTTAATGTGTGTGTCGTGTCTTTAAGATATGAAGGAAGTTGAGTGACTAGTTTCCTCAGGATCTGATCCACATAAAGACTGATGTTTTGAGTCAGATTACCTCTACCAGAGACTATGGGTCTCCCATTTAGTACCGGTTGTTGTTTGTGTCCCTTTGGGAGTGCATAGAAGGTGGCAGTGACGGGATTCTTGACAAACATAAAATTATATTCATCCCTGGAAATTAGAAGTTGAGATAAAGCTGTATCAAGGATTATTTTCAACTCTGCCAAGTATTTTTTAGTGGGGTCACCCTTTAGAACTTCATACGTATTGCTATCCCCAATTAGTCTATGTACCATTGAGACATAATCAGGTTTGTTTAGAATGACTGTATTGCCCCCTTTATCGGAGGGTTTAAAGATAACCTCATTCAGTTCTTTAAGTTTTTTAAGAGAGATATTTTCTTGAGGAGAGATGTTGCTATTAGGTTGGATTGGAAGGTCTTTTAAGTTGATTTTTTCAATTTCATTGCATGTCATCTCCACAAATAGGTCTATATATTTAAAATCCACTAAGTGTGGAGTGAACATGCTTTTCTTTTTTAGATGTGTAAAGGGGGGATATCTTACTTCGGATTCGTCATTCGCAATAAGGAGGTCAACCAGCGTATCAAGTGCACCCATATCTGAGACTTGTAAACCAAGATCTTTTGCCCTTTTTTCCTCTTTCATATAGTGAAATTTATGCAGAGCCAGTTTTCTAGCAAACAGGTGTATGTCCTTTGTCCAGCTAAACTTATCGAAGTCTGAGACTGGGACAAAGGACATACCCCGCTGTAAAACCTGCAACTCTGCTTGAGTCGGAGTGTATGAGGACAAATTGATGATCTGGTTATTTACAGTTGTCTTATCTAATATCTTTTTCTTCCCCTGAAGTGGCATAGGATTGTAGGTTCACTTGTATATACTTTGTTTAATTAGGGTCTCTGACCATATTATTTCTAATAGCCAGGTTCTATATTTGGAACATCGCGCTATACATAGATATATTTCTTCCAGTCAATGCAGTAAGTTTCATTCATATAATTGAGACGGTCTGCATATTTCTTTGTTCTTTAAACTGGTCTCACAGAATTCAGAATGTAACTCTTATTGATCAAGTTAAGATGAATGAAGAAAAAATAGAATCCTTGGTATACCAACAAGCCCAACTAGAAGACTCACCGGAAAGCTCAAAAAAGAAAATAGCAGATTTAGAATTTAAATCTGCAGATCTTGAAGACAGATCGCGACGCAATAATTTAAGATTTAGGGGAATTTCAGACACAATAGCAAACAATAAACTGAATGAATTTATTTTAGATCTATTTCTACAATTGGGCATTCAATTAACAAATCCCCGCTTTAGAACGGTGTCACAGATTAATGAAACCATCTAACATTGTGGAAAGTTCACCAAAAGATGTTCTTATCTGTTGTACATCTTATAAAGTGAAAGAACGAGTCTTGAAAGCAGCATGAGTGATCAGACTCAAGGAACCATACAATTACATCTCTATTTTTCCTGATCTGTCATATTAAACCAGGATGAAAAGAAAGCCATTCTAAACTTATACGGAAATCTTACGACAAAGGAACATTTGTTATGCCTGGAGATACCCATGTAAAATTATTGCCTCTTCTGAGGCAAAGACATGTGCATTTTTGGATACACTAGCTCTATCTAAGTGGTTCAAGGAACTGAATTCTGAATTGAGTTAAGAGGCACTAAGGAAACTGAAAGAAGTGAAGAGAGAAGGAAGAAGTTATAAAGAACACAGGAGGGGGACTATGTTTGTTTTTTCTTTCTTTCTTTCTTTCTTCTTTCTTTTTTCTTTTAGTTCCTGCCCTTGAAGTATCACAATTTTTGAAAGAGGGATATTTCACGTAATTATGCACATTGACAAATTAATATAAGGGATTACTTGGAATATCTTATGAGTAAATTAGATTTAAAATATTATTATAATTGTATAACCCTATAGAGTTAAAAAACAAATGTAAGGACAATTTAAAATAATTACAGATAAATGATATGTTAAGCAATTTTTATATAAATCACATAAGATGATAAAAATGACTATAAGCACTAATCACTGTATGCAATTTTTAAAGCAGGATGATAAGCACGACAATCCATGTCCACCAAGAGTGCTTTTTTTTTTTATAGGCTTATGAATAATGCACAGCTGTAAGGAAAAGGAGGTGAAAGGGGAAGAAGGAAATGGAATAAGAGAAAGAGAATAAACACAGATAGGATATAGGAACATTGACAGTAGATATATAAAATAATGTTTACACAAGACACATAAAAGGGTAAAGATAACTTCAAACACAAATTATGTAATAAAAGTAGGACAATAAGTAGGAAAATTTGGGCCAGAATGATCATTTTTGAAATTTTGTGTGGTGGGAATTAAAAAAAAAAAAAATGTCTACCTCTCTCTAAAAGGGAAACTTTAAATGGTTTATTAGATTAGCTGTTACAATTCTCTCTCACAGAGATAACATAGCATTAAGATTGATCCTTGAATAGGATCACGGTGGAAGGCCAAATGAGGCGGGATAATTCATTGATCCTTCCAGACTTCCTTATAGGGTCTTTTTTTTTATACATGTCACTGTCTTTGTATTAATGCCTTGTCTTCACGTAAAATTGAATCAGTAAGTGTTGCGCTGGATAACTGAGTCAGGAATTCCTGTGGCGGTTTTAACTTTTTCTTTTGAGGTTATGATATCAAATAGAAGGTACTTGTGCCCTAAATATAGGACACACATTGATATTACAAGGATAGAATTCTGTATACCTAGATATGTGGTTTTTCAAAATCAGATGGCATAATGTTAAATATTGTTTCCATTAATGCTCTAGGATTCAATTCGCCTCAAAAAAGGAGAATCTTAGTTGACCGCATGAAAATAGAAAATGCTCATATTATATGTATTCAAGAGACCCAATGGCGACAAGCAGATGAAAAAAAATATAAGTTTAAAGATTTTCCTCTCTCCTTTTATTCATCTTTTAAAGGAGAAAAATAAAAGAGGAGTAGCTATTCTATTCTCAGCAAAGTTGAACGATTCTATACAACATCAGAGCACAGTAGGCGACCAGGAACTTCACATGACACAATAGCCATACCACCTTCCCCTCACACCCCCCAACAGGAGTAGAAAAAAAAAAAGATGAAACTACCAGTCTCAGGGACAACTGGGATCACGTGATAACAGCCTCTGCACAGACAACCCGTTACAAGATTGTTGATGTATCAATCCCACAACCCTAACTGCTTTTTGAATAAGCATAACTGCCCCTGCGTGGGCACAATGTTTACCTTTAAATGTTGCCAATGTTGCCAATGCCATATCATTATTCAGGCTGGAATCAATGTGAAATTTGCTGTATAAGTTTTACTCCACTTAAGCAACCTATGCCTCTGCGTAGGCAAACAAGCATCTCTACCTTAAACCTGTTCTATATGTGACAATGTTATGCATACAAAATAAAACAAAAATTTTTTTATAGTAAATTATATATAATATGATAAAAATAATGGTATATTTAGAAAAAAATTTAATGGCGAGAAAAACTGTAATTAATATGTGTGGGTACAGTAAATGAGTAAGAGGAAAATTACAGCTAAACACAAACCCTATCCTAACTATAAGATAAGACCAGGGACTAATGAAAGTATTTAGAAAATTGGGCAGACTAGATGGGCCGAATGGTTCTTATCTGCCTCACATTATATGTTTCTATGTTTCTAACCCTGCAGAAATGTAAAAAAGAGCTCTGGTCCTTAACAGTGAGAAAATTGAAACACGGTCTGGTCACTAAGGGGTTAAAGAAGTTTTTCTGGTTAGATTAATAGATTAAACCTGGTACAAGGTGGGAAAGCTGCCCATGTAAAGAAGTCAGTGTTATAAAAACAACAACCTAATTTGAATATAAATAAATATAGAATATGTAAAATTTAAATAACACTGCTATTTTACATTTTATTTATATTTAACAATGATTGAAATCATGTGACTATGCTGAACTTACCAAAAAATCTCATGAAAAGTCATGAACCTGGCAAATTATTCTTTAACTTCTGAATTGGTTTCATATGCTTGGAATACTTCCCCTGGAAATTCATTAATGTATTTTTTAGAGAATCTTTTTTTAGGGAAGAAACCCCATTTCTTAATAATCCTGTTAATTAAGTACTTAACTTGTTATGTAGTTTGGCAATTGGTAAATAATTATGTTATATGTTTATGTGCATCATTATAGTTTCTTTCCAAGGTTGGTTACTAATCTATTATAAGCATATTAATACAAGAGTGTGTTTATTAAATGGTGGACAGTGATTAATTGAAATCCTGTGTACAAAATTTATTATATAATAGATCATTTGGAAGATAAATTCAACTTGACAGTTTTTCAAATGTATCTGTTTGAGCCTTTTGAGTCATTATGCAGTTTGATATAGAATTCACCCACATTTACCAGTTGGGTTTTATGTATAATTTAAATTAGACTCCAATTTATTTATTGTCCTTAATATTTCCTTAAAATAGGAATTATTACTAATTACACCTATACTGAGATATCTGAATCACAGGTTGTGTTATTATGTTTCTTCAAAGTAATGACTCACACTATTATGTAATTGCATGCTGTTGTATGTCTTAAATATTTATTTCACGAATAACTACAATCAGAGTATAATAAACGGGGGAATAATTCTTACGATTCTATTCATTTTAAAGCCAGATATTCAGAAAATTGTTTAGTAAAACACAGATTAAGGATTTCTGAAAATATGATGTAATTGTTTAGTTTGCACATATATGGAACTATTGTCAAGTTGATAAATAAATCTAAACACATTAGACTAAAACAGGTTTTCCTCAGTGTAATCTCTCCCTGATAAGAGACAGAGAAAAATGGAATTAATATGTGAATGAACTTTTTAATGCTCCTTTGTTGAACCAATGTCACCATTGAGAGAGATTTATTTAATATCTAATTTGTTACAAAAAAGACTTCAATGTAAATATATTTACATCCATGCGGAAGATTTGTATCCTGGCAAATTATTAAAATGTTTACTCTAACCACTATAATAACCTATAGTATGTGTTCAGGATATAGTAAAATGTATTCCTCTATTATAACAGAGACGATAATTATGTTTAAATAATGTTTGATATAATATGTGTATTTTCTAGACACCGCATGCTATGCTGACTGGGGAGGGAGCAAATGCCTTTGCTGAAAAGATGAATATTCCAAGAGTGTCAACAGATGAATTAGTGACAGATCATAGCATTAAGGAGTGGGAAGAGTACCAAAAATATACACAAAGTGTCACAAATCTTTTTAACTCGGAAAAGTAAGTATACAGTTTGTATAATAAGAATTGCACAAGATAGACAGACATATAGATTAGACAGACCGTGTATAAAAGTTAAATATATACATTTTATTCATAAAAAAAATGACATTGATGTATATGTGCTCATTAACTCATTCTTGCAAATTACACAACTTAATTCTAATACAAGAGCACTGCTTTAAAGGAACAATCTAGACACCATATCCACTACAATGTGCAGTGCCCTGACACCCTCTCACCATAAGTAGTCAAACTGTTTTTGAATGGTTTGACCTATTAACTGGGGTCTGCCAACACTGCTCCCACCTCCACTCCTATCTCTGGAGAGACAGACATTGCTCAGCAGGAACTTCTGTTAGCTCTCCTGGTCTTAGTTGTTGCCTAAGAGTGATCAGGTGATGGTTTTAAAGTGTTTTCTTTAATAAGCCTGATATTCAGAAGGACCATCCAAATGTTTTTATAAGTGAACTCAAGTTATAATACTTACAAGTTGACAGTAAACCTAATAACAATATGGATAAACAGCAACTAAATTCGATTAAAACTAAAAAACTCTTACTCCAGCCCCAAAAAAGTATTTAATGACAAATGAGTGGTGCTAGGTGCCCAGTGTTCACCTTAGGTGTTAATATCTCATAGTCAGATTTTTTTAGGGGTCCCCAGCCTTTAAAACAACTTTATTGAGGTGAAGTTGTTTTGAGGGAAAATAGTCAATTTAGTCAAACACACAGCCCAGCCTTGCTAGTATGCTGAGTTCAGGGAATTTTTCTATTTCCTTTCAATTAGTCTATTTTCTCTTTCCTGTCATATAACCTCTCTTTCTGCCTGTGATGTCATCCTGATCGGCTATGTACTTCACATAGTTCCTCAGAGGGACAATCAGCCCTTCATGTTACTTTAATGATCACAAACCCAGAATCTTGGAGAACTGATAACTTTTATGTATACATCGTAATGGAAGCTAGCCCTACAAAAGACTGTGTGCCAGTCTAATATGTAATGCAGTATTCATTCAACAGTTTTCTTTGAAGATCCCTTTCTATCCATTTATAGGTCTCCATTTGATATTTTTTAACCACTTAAGGACACATGACATGTGTGACATGTCATGATTCCCTTTTATTCCAGAAGTTTGGTCCTTAAGGGGTTAAAGTAAATAAATATTTGGAAACTTATAAAATATCAATAGATGTATCAATATATAAAGAACTATAAAAATATTGCAAAATATTAAATAATTTTATAAGTGTATCCAAAAATATTAAATTTAAAAAGCTTATTCAAAAATATTAAATTGAGGCCATAATTAGAAACTTCTGGCTGAACAATATGATAGGTTGATTAAAAGCATTACAGCTGTTGGTTATATGTCATTTTATTATTACCATATCCATAAAAATAATAATAATGTCCCCATGAAGACTATTTATTCCTTGTCTTTATTTTTAAAACTGGCGTGTATTGCTAGTGTCATAAAAGCTAGTCTTTAAGTAATTATGTCAGTTATTATGACACAAATAATCTTCACTGTGAAGTTCATTACCTAGTGAAGGTATGTGGATTAATTACACTTAGTAGTGCAAGGGTATTAAAATACACTTTTAACTCTGTGCTAGACCTTGATTAAGGACCAATAGCACACTTCTAACTGATGCCAATACAAAGACAAATTAATGGGGAGTCATTGTTCACCCTGATAAATAAACAAATAAATAAAAAATAATTATCTTAGGCCCACCCTCACAATTTCTGAAGCTCTGTGGGTGTCCTGACTGTCTCCTAACTTACCATGTTTGACGATGCTTTCCTAAGCAGTGTAATCCTCTTCAATTATGCCAAAAGACTTTGGCCTGAACATTCATATCAGAACAGAGGGGCATCAGTCACTCCACTCCAATTATCCTTTGCCTAGTAGCAACAGCTATAAGTAACCATAACAACCACTGCACTTTTGCTCTGGCAGAGAGCAGGATAAAAGCCTGCAAGAAAGTTATACCACTCTCTACAGTTTGTAACTTCTTAGTCATAAATGTCTATACTGACTATAAATAAGAGAATTGATTGACAAGTGGAGGATAGACTTATGTGAAATGATTTTCTCTCTACCTATACATTGTATAGATTGAATTATATATACATTTGATAATAAATAAACATGGGCAGTATATATTAAATATAGAAAATTATATTAAGCCCAATTACAGAGCAGCAGAATTATTTTCTGTTAACTGGTGGTTGGCAAAGGAAAAATAGCACTTTCCTAGAAATATTAAAAATTATAAATTGTTCCTAATTAGGAATCTCAAGTTTCCAGTCAAGCCCCCATTCGGAAGTTTACAAAGTAATGTACACTCTTGATGTCACTAATCCACAGTTTAAACAAGGCTGAAATTATAAGAATACATATTTTTAGAGATCTGTTCACTGGTTATATGATAATGCAATAGGAGGTGCACAGATGTTTTTTGATACATAACATAACCCACCTACATGGTCAGCAATTCTAGCAAATATTTTAATGTATTACTGTTTGCCACAGTGTTACTGCTGCTGGTCCAAAAATGCAAGCCAGTTTCAAATGATGTCCAAAAATATTAAGCAAATGTTTTGACTCTGAAATGGCAATCAGATTTCTACTTAGATCAGCTGACACACTCAGCCAATAATAATAATAATTATTATTATTGACATTTATGTAGTGTTAATTTGTTCCACGGTATTTTAGAGGAGAGCTAAGGGAAACTCCTGCTTAGGAGCATCCAACTCTCCATAGGAAGTAGTGAAGACTGAGAGTAGCACCCAGACAAACCCAGGTAAGATGTTAAATATTCTAAAATGGTTTGGCTCCTTACATCAGGACACTCCTGCCACCATAGATACTACAGCAAACTACTAGATTGTTCCTTACTACAGTCTGATATATGTTTAAAACTAGATTATATGTAACACAAGGGTGGAATCCCCTGCTTACACGAATCCATTGGGATATGGATTTGTCTTACTTTCTCATTTGTTTTATCGGTTAAATTGCAAGGTTTGCTGTGATATCATCATCATTTGTTATACTTTTTGAAATAAATGTTGTGTTTTAAGGGATTATCATGCTATGATCAGTTTTCTTTCAAGAACACATCTACACCATTTAACAGTGTTAGCAGGCGAATACACCCTTGTGTAACATTTGATATATTGAGCTTAACCACCCTTTTTTCTGGATGTGGGGCTCTACGATCCTTGGAACTGCTTGATAAACTAGATTATATACCGCATATCATTATAGTGGATGCAGTGGTCTATAAAACCTGAAGCTAGTGATGGCAATCACAGTTCAAAAACCTTTAAAATACGGATTTGCTTTTTAAGAACTATATAGGTTTCAAAGTTTTCATTTATCCTCAGGGACTAAAAACAAAATCATGTCTTAATGTAAAAAGCTGAAATCAGCTGTAAAATGTTATTCATACTGAGACCATTAAATAAGGTATCATACCAAGCTGTATAATGCCATTCAAAGAACAGTACCATGCAATTTAAATTGGAGACGTATGAAATGGAAATTGAGACGTCCGGCAGGCATAGTGTGAAACCTGCCAGACAGATCGTACAGAAGTTTGTTCATTGTCACCTTGAATTTGAAAAGTTAAAAGCTTAAAAGGAAACTAGTGAGTAGCTTTGTTACTGATATTACAAAGTAAGGTGATCTCCTAGGGGTGGCAATAAAAATAGTCTAGCATCCCTCCTCTGTGGCACAGTGTTAATTTGCCATCATTTGTCTTCTTTGGCTAAATTCTATTATTAATGACACATCTGTGTATACGGCGCCTGCAAATTGAACTGCCTTTCTTGCAGGGAACAAAGTAACAGTTCTTATTAATATTTTTTGAATTTATTTTTGTGCTTTAGCTTTGACAACATGCTATAATATAAATGCAAAAAGTACAAATGTTTCACAGTCTGGCAATAGTAGCAATTCCGTTCAACATACTTTTTATGCTAATATTGATGTTCTGTTTTTCCACCTTTATGTGATAGACTCAGTATTAATGGGAATTTTGTGCTGAGGTTTAACCAAATGTTGAAACCATTCCTAAGTATATGATTTTTGTTATCTGAGGTCACAGTTGTGGCAGATACTGACAGAGACAGTTTGTTTCACTAATAAAGTTTATAACTTAATATTTGCCCTAGTCTTAATATATATATATATTGTGTTTTTTTGAACAACAAAATAGCAATTATGAAATACATTGTTTGAGGAAACAGGGCCATAATTTAGCGTTAATATTGTAAACTATGTGTAAACACTAGCAAGTCATTAGCAAGCTGATTGTATATGGTAAGTCTTTAAAACATGATATGGATGCAAGTTCTGACCAAACGTATGAATGTTCATCTGTGTTCATTTATATAACTTATTCACTGTCAAGTACTTTTTGATTTAACAATGTTAGCATAGGGAACAATGTGTAGCTAGCATATAAACAAATCATAACACAGCAATTTTGCAGACACACAAATTTAAATTATGTATTTTTATACAAATTTTATTTTTAACTTATTCAATTATCATGTATTTAAATTATCTAAGAAATTAAAATCCTGAGACAGTATACGTTATCGTTTGCAATATTTCACACAGAGTCTGAAATGTAAGTGAAACATTTTAGGCGTGACAAAAAATAGATAAATAAAAATAGTTAAATACTTTGTTTATATGCAGTTGTAAGGACCCTAAAGGCTTTGCTAGAATTCCTGCATTTATAAATGGCAATAATAATAATGTGTCATGCCAACATACAGTAAATATGTAATAAAATCATATAGTGCTAAAATAAATGCATTTAAAACTGCTATAGCAATGTTTATCAATCTCTAGAAAATGTTGAAATGGTAGAGTCTATCCATTCCCCCCCCTCGCCAACTGTAGGAATGATATGACAATTGAAATATCCTTTACTTTTTGGAAGCATGGGGTGAGTTTAAATGTTCTGCAAATTTGCAGGCATTATATCAGTGACTAGTGGTTTCCGGCTGCCCAATTTGTTTCTATACAGGCTGATAATCATTCATAGAGTATAAATAAGGATGTGTGAAGCTTTATTGTCTAAATCTCAGATTGAAAAATACATGAAAATAAAAACATATTGGATTTTGTCAGTGAAGGGGTTATACATTTTATTTAATTAGTAACCATACATTTTTACTTCAGAATTTTAAGTTCATATTTAGAGATAGATAACCTCGATTTATATTGCCCGAAGAGTATAGATTAAAAAAATATACTTATCTATAGTTAGCATGTGAAGCCAATCATATGTTAGGGGGGGTCTGTGGTATATTTGTGGTATGTGGTATATTAAATTTGAGAGGTGTTAAATTGTTAATGTTATATATGTTGGTCTATTTCCCTGCTTCATAAAGCAATTTTCCCCCTTAGGGTACATGATACAGTTGGTGCTGTAGCAATCGATTCTGATGGAAATGTTTCCTGTGCAACATCAACTGGAGGCATAACCAATAAAATGGTTGGACGAGTTGGAGACAGTCCAATTATAGGTAAGACATTTAAAATAATTATTACAAAAAATGCTCATATTAATTAAAATTTCTGTTCTTTAGTATGTTTTATTCTTTAATGGTTCAAAACTCTTACACAGATCAGCTACAACATTAAAACCACTGACAGGTGAAATTAATAACATTGATTATATCATTACAGGGATACTTGTCAAGTGGTGGGATATATCAGGTAGCCAGTGAACAGTCAGTTCTTGAATTTCAAGGGTTAGAAGCAGAGAAGCAGAAAAAATGGGCAAGTAAAAACTTTTGGTAGGGTGGGGGAGAGTTGGCCAAGCAGCCAAGCAGAGCTGACTCCATTTCACATAGCTCCAGTCCCAATAATCTTAATCCAGACTTTATTGGCTGCATCAAGCCTATCAACCCCCAGAAGTGTCTGCCTAGCTTGGGGGAATACTCAGGGAAATATTCGCATGCCAAATCGTCCCGCAAGACCAAGCAGACGTTCAGGCCGAGCGACCTGCGGTTTGCTGCAGGGCACATGGAGACCCTTGCTGACTGGGCACCACACTCACCCTTTCCTGAAACTGCATATCCCTCACCAGAAATGGGGCGTACAAAGCCAAAGACTCCGGCCACAGCATCCAATGAATCAAGAGACATCGATAAACTACTAACTGGCACTCTGCTCCCGAAAGCACAGGTCAGTCATTCCCAATCAAGGCCTACCAAACCTACCCCATCAATCCACAGTGTGCCTGCAGAAGCGCCAGCCTCAGCACCCTCTACTAAACAAGATATTGCTGATATATATGATCGTATCCGAAAGCTGTTTGATGCAGATATAACGCTTGCGATGGACCGCCTTGCACCCGACCAGGCACCTCCATCAATCGCTGCTTCCTAGTACTTGCAAGTACCATAACCACTGTGCTGGTGCACCATAACTATCGTAAGCCCTGCAAACCACCGCAGCTTGGTTGGGGTCTCACCGTCTCCTACCCACCCTGGACCTAAGACCAGGATCCAGCTTCCAGTGGGTAGACCTCTTAGTCCAGCGAGCGCAGCAGGAACGGCTCTTAGAAGAGCTAGTGATTATACTCAGGGGAGTATAGTGATTATAGCAATCCCCCAGAGTGTATGTAGTTCTCCAATCCCCCAAACATGAGCCGAAACTTCATGAAGGTGCAAGATGACCTGAGCATTTAATGGTACAGCTTGGATTTTTATACAACTTTTCTGGCCAGAGGAACACCCACTGGACCGGATGGGGCACAGGACACAAATTGTACAGACCAATAGAAACAATGTAACAATGCCTGACTGTCATGCGGTAACACTTCCGGGTTCGGCACGCCGCTGTGTGGAGTCGGACCCCGCCCCCCTCTGATGCAGCTCTGACGGTATTTAGGGAGACCCCGCCAGAGAGAGGGTGCTTGGTGATACTGGGAGCTACTTCCGCCAGACTTACCTCTCCACAGGCTCTGGCAATGTGGGTCCAACTTCCGAGTATGCACGCCTGCTCCTGGGACACGCCGGCTCTACAAGCTCTGAAGTCATCCTAGCCTTCTGGGCTAAGACAACTATGCTTCATGCCATAGAGGATTACTGGAGAACAGAAACTCACTTACTTTACAAGTGGACCATATCTCTTAGCTATTGGAGGACTACTCACATTAACCTTAAGTATATCTTTCAGCTATTTGTCTACAATATCATTTAATAATGAGCTAATGCTTGCTTACTTAAATCTTCACTGCTACAAGCTACTAATTATATGGAGGACAACTCCCATCATGCTTATTAACTAGGAACTGTTCCTGCTTTGCAAATGTTCTCAGCTACTTGCTTAAAGTTACTATTGAAGATTATTCTCATTAACCTAAAGAATGTTACTTAATGCATCTCTGAGGAAATACTTATTAATGAACATTGTGTTGTTGATTACTTGCACTTCTTCTTATTGGATTATTGCCTAAATGCAATTCATTTAAGTTTAACACTTATTAAAACTTCGTTTGAATCAAGTTACCAGCAATTCTCTCTTTTCTTAAAGCTACAGTATTGATACTTTAAAGATTCTCTGTTTCTTCACTATTGTAATTAGGGAGTTTTACAAGCTGCAATTGAGTTCCAATCCAAATCACCCAAGTAGCGTAACACTGACACTCCCACATACAGTACACAATCCTTCCCCTCTGCCTGTGATACAATTAAGGTAAATAATGTATTAACGTAATTATCCCCAAGCATAAAAAACACATATTTCACAAAGTCCCAAAAGTACCCCAAAACACAACATATGCCCATAAATCAGACATCCCCTGATAGTCCTGGTCTGTGTGAACAACATATCCAAAAATTCCCCAGATCAGAGCAGGGGTTCAGGAAATTCCTGGAAGTCTTATTTTTGACCCACTCTGCACATAGTCCCATGCCCAAAACAGTTCCAGAGAATTAGGGCTAACGGTTGGTCTCTCTTTCTGTCTGGAGTACAAAAGTACATACTTCACATGAAAATAACCTTTTAAAGTGCATTGGGCAAGGTATATTGCAGGGCCCATAGTCCTGAGGCAATAGGCTGGCCAGCAGGCCCCTCCAAGAACCCTTGATGAGGTTCAGTTTGCCAGCCATAATCACAGGGTAGGAGGCTGGCAAACAGACCCCTCGAAAAGCCAGTGACGAGGTTACTTTCATCACATATCTTCCTTCAAAGGGGAGACTAACCAGGTACCCGACCTCCGGTCGGTGGGTACCTGAGTTAGTCGAGCAACCCACCCACAACCAAGTACTTGACCTGTAGCTCTCGGTTGTCCAGCTTTATCCTGTCTGTCCCATGCAGCAGAGGCAGTGTCTGGTATTCCTGGTCTCTCAGTTGCTTTTCGGTTTGCAGTTGGGGACAAGGGAAGGGCAGAGGGCAACTGCGCTCTTCTCTGTTGCCAGCACTTCTGCTGGAGTGGCCTGAAGGTATTCAGGCCTGGAACAAAGGGAAAGAGGAGGGCAGAGGCTAGCTGCTCTCTGCCCAGATGCCAGCTCTTCCTCTGGGTGCCCTGTAACAAGGGGGCAGGTAGGGCAGAGGCCAGCGTTGCTCTGCCCTGATGCCAGCTCTTCTGCTTGGATGGGATCAGTGAATACTACCCCCAGAACCTGGTTGAGGCTCCGCTGTGGCGAGGAGGGATCGCCTACCTCCTCCTTCTGGCATTGCTGCAGGGTTGGTTGGGGATCTGGACTGGCCGTCCAGCATCCCTTTAGGTCTAGTGCAGAGTCCCATCTGCACCATTGGTGTCAGGAGGGCTGCCCCTCTGTAGTTGGGGCGATGGACCAGCTGTCACCCCTTCTGGTATATCTGGCTGCCGCTGGGGAGAGAGACCGCCTGTTTCCACTCCCTGTGTTGAGTGTGCGATAGGCTCCTTTCCCTCTAATGCACACTGCCACTGGGGAGTGAGACCGACCGTCTCCACTCCCAATAACTTGCCCTGCTGCTGGGAAGAGAGACCGGTTGTCTCCTGTCCCTGTAAGGTAAGCTGCCGCTGGGGGATCGAACCAACATTCTCGACTCTTGGTAACACGGCCTGGTGCTGGGTAGTGGGACCGACTTTCTCCACCCCCAGGGCTGCTTGCTGCTGCTGGGATGAGGGACTGAATCTCCTCTCCCGGTAATACTGTCTGCTGCTGGGGAGAGAAATTGGTTGTATCCTCTCCTTTAATGATCGCCGCTGCTGGGGAGAGAGACCGGTTCTCTCCTTTCCCTGTAGGATGCACTGCCGTTGGGGAGAGAGACCGGTTGTCTCCTCTCCCTTTGAGATGCAATGCCGCTGGGATGACAGACCGGTTGTCTCCTCTCTATGTGAGATGCACTGCCGATGGGAAGAGAGATCGGTTGTCTCCCCTACTTCGGGTACCTCCGGCTGCCTCTGGGGAGAGAGGCTAACCTCCTTTTGTTGGAAACTTTTCCTTGCTTTAGCCAGCAGGAACTCTTGGTCCCTCTTCGCTTGTCTTTCGACTGTTACCTGGTTCCAGATCGCCTGGAAAGTATCCATCAGGGCAATACCAGGCCACTCGCTGCCTCACCTCAGCCAGAAAATCTTCGCAAGAGTCAGAGTATGCCATACTTGCCTGCTTCAAGTCAATGGACACCTCTGCTTCCAGGGGCGCTGTATGAATGCTAGCGTTGCCCTCACTATGATCAACACATTACCGGTGTCTCCAGGATGCTTCTCCTCGCACTAGGACGCCATCCCGCCACTGCCACCAAATGCGATGGACCTCCTTGGACCCCAACCAGGTACCTCCGTCAATCGCTGCTTCCTAGTACTTGCAAGTACCATAACCACTGCACTGGAGGACCATAACTACCATAAACCCAACAAACCACCACAGCTTGGTTGGGGGTCTCACCGTCTCCTACCCACCCTGGACCTAAGACCAGGACCCAGCTTCCAGTGGGTAGATCTCTCTTAGTCCAGAGAGCGTAGTAGGAACTAGTGATTATACTTAGAAGAGCTAGTGATTATACTCAGGGGGTATAGTGATTATAGCAAAGTCCTGTTTCTTAATAGGTTTCCACACAATGGTTTGTACTGGCCCCTGATATACTTGCATAATGTTATCATATCCTCTCTGAGGTGACATTTTCCTAAACTAAAGAGGTTTAAATTTGTTAACTTTTTTTTTATAGCTAAAATGTTCCATTCCTTTTATTAAATTTGTAGCCCTCCTCTGCACTCTTTCTAGTGCCATAATATTCTTCTTTAGAACAGTTGCCCAAACTTACCAGTGATTTATAAAGAGGCAAAATGATATTCTCATTCTGAGAATTATACATGACAATACTTTGTTGGCCTTAGCCAATGCTGATTGACATTGCACATTGTTGCATAGTTTGTTGTCTATAACAATTCCCATGTCTTTCTCATGTGTTGTTATCCCTAATTCACTTCCATTAAGGGTATAAGTTGCTTGTGCATTCTTTACGTCGAAGTGCATAACTTTGCATTTTTCAACATTAAATTTCATCTGCCATTTCAGTGCCCAGTCCCCCAGTCTATCTAAATACCTCTGCAGCAAAGTAATATTTTGCTCACATTGTATTACTTTAGTTTTGTGTCATCTGCAAACACTGATCATTTATAAACATGTTAAATAGATACACTACTGTCTTCACATGTTACAGTAGAACCTCTTCCTCTCTAGACTCACACGTAACAAATAATCGGCCTTTATCAAATGCATAGTATCTACTCGTTACAGTCTCACTTTTATATCCGTTTTTGCATGGTTTTCCTCTTCCTATTTCACGCGCTTCTCTTGAACTTCCGGGTTCGGGAGGTCACGTTACGTCAAGTCCGCAATCTGTATTTTTATGCTCAGCGGAATGCTGCAGCGTCTGACGTCATCACGTGATGACGTATTTGCATCCATGACGATATCAGCTCCATATTTGGATAGGGAAAATCTTTGTATTTTGTCCTTAATCTTCTTTAATAGTGTCCCATTGATAAATAAGTCCTTAAAACTAATAGGAAACATTAAAAGGCATAGCAATTAGGCGAGATGAAAAATACATACATAGCAATATACATAAATATCAAAATTTGAACAGCTTCAAGTGAAGTGTATAAAGGAAATGTAAAGAATTGATGGGGAACCAATTTGATTCAGGAGCAGTAATCCGGAGGTTATACTGAAGAGTAGTGATGTCGAGAACCGTTTGCGAACTTGCCGCGAACGGTTCGCCACGGTTCGCGGCGAACTCTGGTCAGCTGACACATCCCTGCCAATCTCCGGCAGACCCTCCCTCCCAGACCCTCCTACTTCCTGGACAGCATCCATGTTGAAGGCAGCTTCAACATGGATGCTGTCGAGGAGGTGGGAGGGTCTGCCGGAGATTGGCAGGGATGTGTCAGCTGACCGGAGTTCGCCACGAACCGTTCGTGGCGAACCGTTCGTGGCAAGTTCGCGAACGGTTCGCGACATCACTACTGAAGAGCGCTAAATGTCTGAGCCTGCTATAAATAGTCTCAGCAGCATGTGAGTTTAACACGTTGGCTTACATTTATTATTATTTTAATATACTACACTATGATCGGTATTCTATGTTTTGTTGCAGATTACTAGTGGATTTTACATACAATCCAGGATACCACAGTGGTAGTATTTATTCTGTAAAGTGTCAGCTTTCACCTATTGAGTGATTTATTTTGTTATATATGTGTGTGTATATATATATATATATATATATATATATATATATATATATATATATATATATATATATATATATATATATATTTTTAGGGTGACTAAACACTGGTGATAGAAGCGACACATACATCACTTTATTCCAGTACTGTATTTACTTTGTATTTCACTAAATCTAGTATGGCCTTTAGAGACAATCCCAGTAGGGAGTTTAGAATATGTAAGCTCCTGGCACAGGCAGCTATTTTGGTTTTCCAGTTCACATCAGGAAGATTAAAGTCACCCATGATGATAACTTCCCCCTTCATTGTCATTTTAGCTATTTCCTCAACTAGTAGATTATCTAACTCTTCTATTTATCCAAGGGGCCTATAAATCACACCTACACAAGTTACCAAATCTAATGTAACCCAAATGGACTCTATGCTCACCTCACTAGCTTTTATTAGGCTAGATTTTATGCTATCCCTGAAACATGGTATAATGAGAAACATGACTGGGACATAACAATACCAGGGTACTCTTCATATAGAAAATACAGGGCCGCCCCTCTTTCTTGCATTCCCTATATTTCCTATATGAAGAGTAGGAATGTGCTTCAATATAGAAATTGGAAGACTGCCAATAATGTAGATTAGCTCTTTAGTTTTGTCATAGTACCCAACATCCATTTTACATATGATTTAATATGGCTGCAGGGGTTCTGTTAATTTAAAAAATATTATGTATTTTAAAAAAAAATGTAAAGAAAATATCACTTAATTTTTCATAAAGAATGTATGATTTACACACCAGGAGCCTTAAATGAAGACAAGACAAGCCAAGACAAAGTTCTCAATTACAATATAAATGAGCAATGGTGTCATCAGGCTTCTAACATCAAACAGAGGGTCATCAAAGGAAAATAAAAATATGGAAGAAATCAGTTGTGTATTATTCTAATCACAAGGCAATTGCCAAATGAAGTATCTAAGAAGAGAGAAGGCAGATAATATGGAGAATAGAGAGAGGAAAGGACAACATGTGCTTCAATATAGAAATTAAAAGGCCGCCAGTAGTAGAGGTGGTGGGCTTGCACCTGTCTCAGGCTGGCAGGAACTGAGAAGGAAGAGCTCCTGAGCCAGGATCAGGCCAAAAGGGGTCAGGTGTTCTACAGCAGCAACTATGTCATCACCAACATAAGGGGAGGTCTGCCTTGGATAGAATATTGAGTGTTCACCATGTCAAGCTTAAAGGAGTGAAATATCAGTTGCAAAAGAATAAACATCCATATAAACTGTCAGACCGTCCATTGGACTTATGATGGGGGGCAACTCCAAGTGGGAGTCAGTGTGGTACTCTCTCTGGTAGCTAAATATGGGAAAATTAAGTAGAAAATATGAAAAGAAATTAAGAAAGTCAAGAAGAGGAGAGGAGAAATAGGAGATAAGAAAAAAGAAATGTGATGTGGAAAGAGCCGAATTAAGAAAGAGTAGAGGAGGAAAAAAAATGAGTTGCATAAAAGGGAAGCATACAACTTGGAAAAGGGATGGATTGAGATGAGTGAGGGAAAAGGATAGAGAAGAGAAAAAAGGGGGGGTGAGTCAAAAAGTGTTTGGAAAGACAACTGGGTAGAATAGGAAGAGGACATTTAAAAAGAAGAAGAAATCAGTAAGAGAACAAGGATGGGGATGCTAGAGGGATGGAATGAGAAAGGAAAGAGGATAAAATAAAAAGAAAGAAAAGAAATAGGTAGGGAGAAAGAGTAAGATGGAAGGGGGGTAAAGTTGCAGGTATTGGTGGCTCAAGAAAGTGGTTAAGACATTGATGTGCAGGTGTCTAGCAGGTAGATCTCTGGTCAATTGGGAGATCCAGCAGGCCTGTTGATAGCAAGCGCTATGGAATCTGTTGGTGCTATATAAATGGCAATAATAATAATAGCAAGCCCAGGTCTTCTCTCTCATTGTGAAAGGTCATCCAGTGCCAGGGAGATAAAAGTCCATAGGGTCCGACCACCCCATGTTCCATGTATAATCAGGACCGATGGTCTTGCCTCCATGTGGTATGCTGCCTTGCAGTGTTCTCCAAAAAAGATAACATCCATAGGGTTTCCCATGATGCTGTTATCTCCAGCCATGTTGGACTACCAGAGGGCCTTGAGATCCCTCACACGTGTTCTCCAGGTCCAGAGGGCACATTATCGATGGATGTTGCAATCTGGCCTGGTGGCACATACCCATGCACAAAAAAGATTGGTGTAGTGGCCACTCTGCTAAAAAGGCTAATACAGCTCTCAGTGAAGATGAGAGATGAGCAGGTGAGTCTTCAGTATCAGGACGTCCACACAGACACAGCTTTCAGCGTCTCCCCCAGTTGTCTAAATCTTTAATCTGCTAGGCTATGCTGCAGAGTGAGTCAGATTGCTGTGAGAATATGTCTGTCATCATTCTCTGCACTGATTGCATCTAATCACATGTGGCTTCTACACGGCTCTCACAATTATTCATGGCCTGTAGGTTTTCTTGTAGGGATTGGATGTTGGCCTTAATGGAGGCCTTTTGCACCCTTTTAGTTACCACCAAAACCTCTCGGGTCAGGAGAGTCTGTAATAAAAGCAGCCAATCCTTTTAAGCCTGGTCAGATGTCTGCTCCGGAAAGAGAGAAAGGAGTCAAGGAAAGATCTCCTGTGTCATCCAAGGCCTCCACAGCCCTTGGTTGTGATGCAGTTTCAAAGTACTGGAGACTCTTGTTTACAGTCTGAAGGTCTCTGGGCAGTCGAGGGTTTGTGAGTGTTGTGAAGGTATAAGCCGTGATAAGCTGTATGGCAGCACAAGGCAGATGAGTGATTAATTAAGATGCCATCTTCCTCTAAAATCAAGCCACGTTCCTAAAAATTTCACTTTTATATTTATGAACAGTCATCTTTGGTCAATATGAATTCAAACACTGTTGGGTAGTCTAGTCCACCCGGAACAATGGTAGGGAAGCCAAGGATATCAGACTAAGAATCTTTGCCATCCAACACCTGGCTAGAAAGCGCAGAGTTCCCATGCTGTTGTTGTCAAAGGATGTCAGAAAAGCCTTTGACCAGGTGGACTTGCCGTAGTTTGGAGAGAAGATACTTAAATGCATATTGGACTTCTACACATGCCCTAAAGAGAAAGTGAGATATAATGGGATGCTGATGGAAATCCTACAGATTTGAAACAGCACTAGACAATGATGCCCTCTCTCACCCCTATTATTCTCCCTGATGTTAGAAACTTTTCTTGAAGCAGACAGACTAGCAGACACACAGACAAGCAGACAGGATACAATACAGATGTTTTGGGATTCAGGCAGGCAGAATCACAGAACATAAAGTGATAGTCTATATGGATAACATGTAATTTTTTGTTTCAAATCTGCAAATAACTCATATGCCTGATGAAAGGGTTTGTGGAGTACAGCAAAATATCCAGCCTCAAGTTTAATAATTCCAAATGTGAGGTATTGAACATCACCCTTGCCGAGTTGCTTCGTACATGGTCCCCATGGGAGTATGGCTCACTAATTGACCATGCCTAGCAGTACAAGAGGAACCACATACCCCTAAAGTGTATGGTTTAGGAAGACTTGAAATAATGGAGTTATGCCCATATAAATTGTATAATACAGATTAAGAACAAAAGGATCCAAAAGGAATCTGGTCCAGATTACACAATTACATTGTAAAAACAAAAAGCAAATTAGGGGCAACCCAGAACAGGCATTTTTTTAGGAATGGTGCTGCCATAGTGACCAAAATATATACAGAATACAGATTAAGAACTGCGCACACATACGAATACAGTTTTACATTTTATAAAGCTATTTAAAATCTCCCATCTCAGCAAACAAATATGGGGATTCAATTCCACCATATGGCCATCTCGTGTTAGGCCCACCACTAATTTGTCTCCCACTTTTGGAATTAGTGTGCTGTTCTTAATCTGTATTATGTATATATTTTGGTATCTACAGCAGCACCATTCCTGAAGACATGTTCCGGGTGTGCCCCCAATTCCATTTGTGTCATTATTATATATTGGATATGTCAAATTTCAGTGCTCAAGATGAATGTGTGTGAGGAACCGACTCTGCTGGGTTTCGAACTGGTTCCTTACCAGTAGACCAGCCTGCCTTTTGCAAATTTACCTGAGATCTGATACCATTGCTTGTAGAGTCAAGGTTATCCGTGACAACTCTCTTCAGCTGTGTCTGGTCAGGTGTCTGGTTCTTGGCCTATAAAAGCCACTTCCTGTCTCTGTACCTTTGCCAGATTATTGTGGTTCCTGTACTCTCTAATCAAGCGTGTTCCTGGTTCTCCTTCCTGTTACTGAATTTGGACTGTTTTGACTTTGCTGCTTCTCCTTCCCACTGACCTCGGCTTGCCTCACTACGATTATCATCTTTCTGTTCAAGTCTCCCATCTCTGCTTAAGACCAGAAGGCCACTCAAGGCTCAGGGGCTCAACCACCTGGGTAACGAGTGGCTACCTCTGGCAGAAAACATTGCTGATCTGGCTACTGGACTCCAAAACTTTGTAACATCAATATCATTACAATGTGCTCCACAGAATTCAATGTATCTTCCAAACAATTCCCAAAGCATTCTTCACGTCCCCTTGGGTCAATGGTGATAGCATATTTGTGGAGAGGGGAAAGACTATGAGTAAAACATGACATCATTTGCCTTCCTAGGGCTGGGGGAGGCCTAGCACTGTCTGTTTTCCAGAAATACTGTCAAGCAACAAGCAACTGTCAATGGCACACCACAAGGAAGATCAAATTGTGGGCAGGTCTGAAATGGATGGGAATATATCTCACAGTGCCTCTGAATTGCTGGACATGTGGAGGCAAGATTGGGACCATGAAACACATATGGTGGGACTGACCATGCATTTTGCCATCTGCCCACATTCTAGGACATGGACAGCATCATATTTGAGGCACCATCATATTTGAGGCACCCTGTTTCAATTAGAAAACCTGCTCCTTCATGTGACCCAGCCCCTCCCCGCTGATATTGAAATAGACAAGATTAATTCTATGGCATTTATTATATGCCACAAAATAACTTGTGCCTGTCCTCTGGATAAGGTCAGAGACACCAACAAAAGAACAGTGGTTTAGCAATGTTAAATAACTTCAGGCAGCTGAGGCCCTAGCAGCATAGCTGACAGGGCAAAGTGTAACGAACACTGAGCACAGGTTTCCCTGAGTTTGATAGAGCACTTGGAGAAACAGATGGAGCAAATGAGAGGGGTGGGATGGGAGATGGACTGATGCAGAGGAACTCATCTTTTCCTTACTCTCCAAACCTTTCACCCTGCATCTTGCCCTATTTCTTCCCACTTCTGTTAATTTATTTCTTTCCTTTAACCACTTACTTACAGTCACTGTATACATCCTATAGCATATCCCATAGATGTGCCACACTGTGCCTAGAGAGCATAGGATTTGAAGAAAAACTAGGGGTGCTGGGAAAATCTGAAATAAAGATTTAAAGAAAAATAATGTTTCCACCTATACTATGATCTATATTTTCACTTTAAACAGTAAAATAAAAAAATGCAAGTTTTGGTCACTTTAGGTTGCACAGACGTTGGCTCCGCCCCATCCAAAAATAGTTTAGTAAGAATAAGAATGTCTAGTGCATGCTAAGTTATGTCACCTTTTTCTTTGACACCTTAATAAATGATCAATGAACTTAAAGGTTTGTGCTGGACGTTTATTATTTTTATATTTTCACTTTAAGGTTTGAAGATTTGTTTTTAGCACATTTAATACTGTGCATATTAGCAAGGTATGACATTTATTTAAATAATCACAAACCTTTATTTTTTATTACAATGGAAACTCTAAAATTCTAACATTTTAAAAATGAATCAACAAAAAATATAAATATCCCCTATCCAAAAATAGGAACACTTTAGCAGCTGTACATTTTCTCTATGATTTTTACAAATATTTCTCTCTTAATTTATAATCAGATTCTCTGAAAGTTTAGTCTAAAAATAGTCCCTAGGAATATGGAGAAAATAGACTTTCAATAAGAAATTGATTCTTTCCATACAATTGTTTAATAGAATCCACATAGTTTACAAGCCTTTTTAAATTACTACTTAATTTCACAATTGATGTGCAAGTGAGATACATATTTTCTGAGATCAAATATTTTATGTTCAATTATTTTACAATAACCTATGAAACTGTCAAAACACCTTCCAGGTTAGTCTAATCTATAAGTTTGCAGCCTGATACCTATTATTACTCATTGTAGCTGCAATGTATATCTTTTTTTCAACCTTTTTCCCTATTCAACATTTAAGTTTCCCAAAAATAAAACCGGTATTTAAAACAATATAGTAAATGATAATAGTGTCTCATTTTTAATCTGTTTTTTTTTTTTCAAAAGAACTATAATGTTTGAAATTACAACTTTGACAACTTTGACACATAGACTGAACAAAATTATAAACGCAACACTTTTGTTTTTGCCCTAATTTTTCACGAGCTGAACTCAAAGACTTTTTCTATGTACACAAAAGACCTATTTCTCTTAAATATTGTTCACAAATCTGTCTAAATCTGTGTTTGTGGTCACTTCTCCTTTCCTGAGATAATCCAATCATCTCACAGATGTGGCATATCAAGATGCTGCTTAGACAGCATGATTATTGCACAGGTGTGCCTTAGGCTGGCCACAATAAAAAACACTCTAAAATGTGCAGTTTTATCACACAGCACAATGCCACAGATGTCGCAAGCTGTGAGGGAGCGTGCAATTGGCATGCTGACTGCAGGAATGTCCACCAGAGTTGTTGCCCGTGTATTTAATGTTCATTTCTCTACCATAAGCCATCTCCAAAGGTGTTTCAGAGAATTTGGCAGTACATCCAACCGGTCTCACAACCGCAGACCACGTGTAGCCACACCAGCCCAGGACCTCCACATCCAGCATCTTCACCTCCAAGATCGTTTGAGACCAGCCACCCAGACAGCTGCTGCAACAATCAGCTTGCATATCCAAAGAATTTCTACACAAACTGTCAGAAACCATCTCAAGGAAGCTCATCTGCATGCTTTTCGTCCTCATCTGGACCTCGACCTGACTGTAGTTCGTCATCGTAACTAAATTGAGTGGGCAAATGCTCACATTCGATGGTGTCTGGCATTTTGGAGAGGTGTTCTCTTCATGGATGAATCCTGGTTTTCATTGTACAGGGCAGATGTCAGACAGCGTGTATGGTGTCGTGTGGGTGAGCAGTTTGCTGATGTCAACATTGTGGATCGAGTGGCCCATGGTAACGGTGGGGTTATGGTATGGGCAGGCGTATGTTATGGACAATGAATACAGGTGCATTTTATTGATGCCATTTTGAATGCACAGAGATACCGTTATGAGATCTTGAGGCCCATCATTGTGTCATTCATCCACGACCATCACCTCATGTTGCAGCATGTTAATGCACGGCCCCATGTTGCAAGGATCTGTACACAATTCCTGGTAGCTGAAAACATCCCAGTACTTGCATGGCCAGCATACTCACCGGACCTGTCACCCATTGAGTGTCACTGGTGGCGGTCCAGAGACCGGGACCCCTGTATGCCTGATGATGGTAGGTGTCACAGCGTGGAAATGAATAATCAGGGCCTGGTGCAGGGTAACCACACGCCCGCTGGTATTGAGCATCTGGGTTTGTGCAGCCACATACCAGGACCCTGATGCAGCTTCTGCGGATCCCAGGAGCTAGATATTATGCAGATATGTATCCAGTACTATAAAAAAGGCAAGACTAGAACAGGCACCAAACAAGATAACAAGACATTATTAGAAGAACACAGAACCTGAGCAGGACAGAAAGCAGAACCGAGAACATGTACACAAGACATGAGGGAAAACAAGAACAGGACATGGACAGGGCAGCACAGGGCTGTACATGAATTGGGAATACAAGACAAAATAAAACAAGAGAAGATACAAGGCAAAACAAGAGGAGAAATAACTAAGTATTTTATATGTAATAAACATTGGAGATTTAGATATACATAAATGGCCAAGATGTATGTTACCCACCACGGTGCCAAAGTATTCCAATTACAGTGGGTCCTAACTGCCTAGTTATGCATGACTCAAAGTACAATAATAAAACACACACAGTACTTACCTGCAAGGAAAGGAGCAGAGGAATGAGACCACTGAAACAAAAAGGATTATTTATTATTATTTATTATTATTATTTATATAGCGCCATCAGATTCCGTAGCGCTGTAAAATGGGTGGACTAACAGACATGTAATTGTAACCAGACAACTGGATGTACAGAAACAGAGAGGTGGAGGGCCCTGCTCAATGAGCTTACATTCTAGAGGGAGTGGGGTATAGTGACACAAAGGGTAAATGAATCCAAAGGGATGCATTCCAAATCACCATAGAAACACTAAAGAACACAATCTAGCTTTATATTGGAGGAAATGTAATGTTTACAAAGTTGTAATTTCAAACATTATAGTTCTTTTGAAAAAAAAAACAGATTAAAAATGAGACACTATTATCATTTACTATATTGTTTTAAATACCGGTTTTATTTTTGGGAAACTTAAATGTTGAATAGGGAAAAAGGTTGAAAAAAAGATATACATTGTATATACACTGAGGGTTTAGTAGGTAATTTTGACAGTTTCAGGAGAGGAGTCATGGGGCGTGGCGGATAAAAACATGCTATCAGTTTAATTGATATGCTTTCTTGAAGTGAGTTTTCAATGATTTTTTTGAATGAGTGGAGACTGGGAGAAAGTGTTAAGGAGGAGGGAAGGGAGTTCCAGAGGTGCAGCCCTGGAGAAATCTTGGAGGCGAGCATTAGAGGTGGGAACACGGACAGAGGATGTATGTAGGTCTTTGGCAGAGCGTAGGGGCCTCGACGGTACATACTTACGTATTAAGGAAGATAGGTAGGTTGGAGCAGCATTATTTAGGGACTTGTAACGAAGCACCAGAATTTTAAATTGAGCCCTATATCTAACTGGAAGCCAATGCAGGGACTGATGGAGGCGTGGGAGGTGCGAGTGGACAGGAAAATGAGCCTCGCCGCTGCATTCATTATAGATTGCAGCAGTGCAATCTGGGAACATGTAAGACCACTGAGAAGGGGATTGCAGTAGTCAAGGCGAGAGAGAACAGCAGCATGGACCAGCACCTTAGCTGCATCTGGCGTTAAATAGGGACGGATGCGCGCTATGTTATTGAGGTAGAAGTGACAGGATTTGGCGACTGATTGGACATTCTAACATTCTAACATTTGAAGAAGAGGTTGGAGTCAAAAAGAACACCCAGGCAGCGAGCCTGAGAGGTAGAGGTGATGGTAGCGCCGTTGACTTGGAGGGAGACCGACACAGGAGTGGTAACACTTGAGGGAGGAAAGACCAGAAGTTCTGTTTGACAGGTTGAGTTTAAATGAATGGGTGTGGCAACAAAAAACAAACATATAAAGGAATCCAGGAGACTGGGAATTCAAGGAATGGAATAAAGGAATGCACCCAGAAAACCCAGCATAAAGAAAAACCAACAAAAACTGAAGAAGAATTGTAAAAAGTGCACTGGATATCAAAAGCCATGACCAGAAAAAAAACACAGAATGTAACATGTTTGGGATGATCTGGATCGGCGTATACGACAGCTTGTTCCAGGTCCTGCCAATATCCAGCAACTTCGCACAGTCATTGAAGAGGAGTGGAACAACATTCCACAGGCCACAATCAACAACCTGATCAACTCTATGCGAAGGAGAGGTGTTGCACTACGTGAGGCAAATGGTGTTCACACCAGATACTGACTGGTATTCGAACCCCCCCGGGCCCCACCAATACAGTAAAACTGCACATTTTAGAGTGGCCTTCTATTGTGGCCAGCCTAAGGCACACCTGTGCAATAATCATGCTGTCTAATCAACATCTTGATATGCCACACCTATGATTATCTCAGCAATGGATTATCTCAGCAAAGGAGAAGTGCTCACTAACACAGATTTATCAGCCAGATTTGTGAACAATATTTTAAAGAAATAGGCCTTTTGTGTACATAGAAAAAGTCTTAGATCTTGATTCCAGCTCATGAAAAATGGGGCCAGAAAACAAAAGTGTTTATAATTTTGTTCAGTGTATGTTTTTGGTTTAGTTACTTTGTCCTCAATTTGTACTTACTAGTCAATTTTGCACAACTGCTTGTTTATTGAAGCATACATATTAAAAAATCTAGGCTTCCTATCAGACCTTAAAATATTGGGGGAAAGAAATTCTTAAACGTTATTGGAAATTCAGGTTATAGCAATTTAATATCATTAGTAAGAAATATTCTTTGCAGACATTATACCTTTTTAGAGATCTAATAAAAAATTATGATAGATTATTTTATTTTTGTTTGTTTAAAGGATCTGGTGGATATGCTGATAACTTTGTTGGTGCTGTATCCACAACTGGGCACGGAGAATCTATAATGAAAGTCACCCTTGCAAGACTTGTACTGTTGCATATGGAACAAGGTAAACCTATTCTATAGGTGTCATAAAATTTTTTCTCCTTAGCAGAAAAAAATCTTTAAAAATATTCAGCAAGATATTTAACCGTGTTTATTTATCTTTTTTTTTGTCACACAACCTGTATGTGAGAAATAAAATCTGAGCTTGTGTAAAAAATAGCAAATAAGGTATAATGTATACTTTCATTCCCTCCTCCCCCAAAAAATAATATATTTGTTGGCTGGGCCTGAAGTTGTGGGAGGGGCTTGTGGACCTTAAAAAGGGACTCCCCCCTTCCCTACTTCATCGTAGTTGGTCCGACGATCTGCTGCATTACAGACCACCATTTCCGCTTCCTGCTCCCAGTATCCAGGTTCATCGCGACACCGTTCCCGGCAGAAAGGCGGTCAGTCTAGGCTACATTACCGCAGCTCGCTGCTCTGTTTACCGCCGACCCAGAAACAACCACGGACGGAAACGCTGACTGGATCCTGTCCCAGCAGGTAAGTGGTCGCAACCCCCCTGTGGTCGCACGTCCCCCTGTGACGTCTTTATGGTTCGATTTGTTTCATTTCTATTGGGTAGTCTGGTTAAGCACTGTTAGTAGTGCTGCACCCATAGCAGACTCTCCTTCATGTTATTGGTTCCTGGCCACGACCTATGATGGCACAGGTACCACCCTTTCGGCTCCTGACAAATGGGGACATAGTCCCATGGACACGGTCGCAGAGTTAGGTGGGTGAAGGGCACAGAGACTCTATGGCCATATATGGCCTCCGTGCCCCATGTTTATCTTTTGCATATTTTGGCGGGGAGCTTGTTAGTTCTGCTACTGTTGTACCTAAAGGAAAACCATGGAAGGGCACAGGCTACATTCTGTGGCTAGACACGTCTCGCACCTTTGGTTCCAACGGTCACGTGTCATTAGTTCAGTATACTGGAACTTCCCCCTTGGAGAGGACTGGCCTCCGTGGTGTTTGATTCCTCTTTGGCAGGGGTCAAGTACTGTCACGCTTTACCATGGTTTAGTTGTTCATTATATTTATAGAATTAAGCCTAACTCTTTAAATCTAAATCTGTAACAAATCATTGAAAAAAAAAAAGGGGGGTCTTGTGTTGGTTTCACCTCTGGTTTCAAAGATTGTGGATGTCACTATTTTATATGCTTTCCGAACCTGGTTAACTGGTTAATATATTAAAGTCTAAGGTGTCGGGTCATTTGCTTAGTCACTCTGGGGAATTTATGGTTCTGACAAACCATGTGTCATGTTTTACAGATTGCAAAGTTCCCTAGTAGAGCAGCACTTGGCTCTTCAAACCTCAAGTCCTAAATGCATAGGTGGGTAGGTCATAGTTTTCTGGGTTGAGTACGGTTTATTAAGCTTTATGGATACCGGTTATATATTTTGGTTATAGTGAGGTTACTATATTACTCAGGGGCATGAAGCATAACAGGTTTCATATCTTACATTAAGTTTAGCAGATTACAAGGTTACCTGTTCGAAACACGCTTGGCTCATTTAAAGCCTCAGCCTAATTTATAGGTGGGTAGCTTAAGGTATTATACGTCATATCCACTTGCTGATTCAGTATGACTATTTATATACCTTTTATTTGGTTTAGGCCTTCCTTATTAGCTGGGATCTCAGATTATCACATGGCGGATCCTTCAAACACACACCAGGTATGAGACTTACCACCAGGTATGAGACTTCCGCTCCATTTCCGCTCCATGAGCCTTTTGGCTTAACAATTAGGTTACTGGCTGATAGAGAGCTAGGTGGCCATTTAGGTAATTTAATTTTGGCTCTCTTTGCCTTAGTCTCAGTGGTCCCGCGAGGCCTACCTCCATTCTCCACATAGGAGATAATACACCCCATGGGCCAAATCATAGCCAGCTGCCTCGCTTGTTGCATAGTTAGGGCCTCACTTGTCACGGCCTGTCTTTCTTCTGTTTAACAGTCACCAAGAGGCCAACACCCAGCCACAATTTTTCAGTGGCCACGAAACCCCTCGTGCCAACACTTAGGGAGAGCCTCTAAAGAAGCTTGGTAACTAGGTAGGTCTCACCTGTCACTGGCCCAGTGAATCATTTCACCACTTGGCACTAGCTAGCTAGCCAGCTAGTACACACCCCCTGGTCTAAGCATATTATTACTATATTTCAGTATGTCTCCGATTCCCGATGACTGTGACGATGTATCAGTCCCCAGCACTCCGGCCAGATCCGCTACTCCCACACGCAAGGGCGGCACCAGTAGCCCCGCATCCATCAGGTCATGGACATCACAGCCAAACTAAGCAAACGCAGCATCCCTTTCCCAGCAACAGCAAAGAAAGCGGTACTATTCCAGCTTATACACACCAGGCAATACAGACGCAGGGAAGGGCTCGAGTGGCTCAAACGACACCAGCCTCCATATGATGATCGCCTCCCTAGTGTCCTTAATGGGGAAAATTAATGACAGGCTAGAAAGACTGGAAGCATGTAGCCTTCTCGTTACTACAATTGAGCCTTTCTCAGCTGAACTGCCAGGTTCACCACAGCTACAACCGGGTAAAAGTATACCCACTAGTGCAGAAGAGCACATCATTAACCCGGCCCATATGGTTCCGGCGAATCTTTAAAAAGACAAAGATGTAGGGCAAAGATGTAAATCTTGTCTCCCTTTGGATTGCCTCCCAGGATGTCGTTGAGAATTGCACTTACGCATATAGGGATATCTCAATGGTGATGAAAGCTAGAGATCCAAGACTCAGTAAAAACCTATCAATTCCAGATTTTGTCATAGCATTGGGTATTTATAGGGATGTGTTGTGCTCAGGGCACCCACATAGTAGGGAGGAGTTGGACCTCTATATGCACAAGCTGGTAGATCTTGGCAACAAATACAGGGGTACATCTTTCTACGACTATCACCGGTCGTTTTCAGCAAAGGCAGCGGCAACTCTGGCCCAGTACAATGTCAGGTTGGATTGGAGCCAACTGGATACAGAGCTGTTCCTTAGACACTTCGCTGGGCTAAGAACCCCAGCTTGTGCAATTTGCTCATCAACTGCACATTCGGCCAACTTCTGTCCCAATACACCTGACACCACCCCTAACACAGCCATCCCAGGCACTACTAGGGTTGAGAAACAAGGCAAGGATAAACTGGGACCCCTGGATTATATACCTTGGCAAGTTGCAAATTTGCAATAATTTAAATGAAGGTGCATGTGGTTACAGTGCCTGTCATTTGTTGCATGTTTGTTCTCACTGTTTCAGAGCTCATGCGAAAGCCATGTGACCAAATAAAATGCACCATAAACCTTATCTGACATCGGTTACAGTTGGTATTCTAGTTCATCTGCTATCCACTCACCCTTCACGACACCTGGTGGATTGATAACAGGTTTCACCCAGGGGTTCCACAGGGGCCTTATTCACTTGCCAACGGGAATTTTAGAGTGTAATAACCTACAGTCAGCTATGGCTGACACCGAGTCGGTAGAGGTGTTATTACAACAAGAACTGGAGCAGGGGTTTATATTAGGGCTGTTTAAAGTGCCGCCTTTTTCCAACTGGAGGAATAAACCTATTGGCCTGGTCACCGGGAAAAACTTGGCTAAACAGAGACTGATTATAGATCCATCTGCAGTCCTCGGTAGTCCTGAGCCTTAACTCACTAATACCCTCAGAGGAGTTATCGCTGCAATACACCACAATTGACAATGCCATAGATGCTATCATGGTGGCTGGCATGGGTTCATGGCTTAGCAAGACCGACATTGTCAACGCCTTTAAATTGTTACCCATACATCCATTGCACGGGATCAAATGGAGAGGCCTATATTTTTTCACTAGGCTCACCTTTGGTTCTAAGAGTAGCCCAAGGATTTTTATAACCTTCGCAGAAACTCTGTGTTGGCTCCTGCTGAATTCATGCAGGTGCCACACCATCGTACATTATCTAGATGGTTTCTTATTTATCTTAAAGTAATTCCTCACCCTCTTGCAGTTTGGGTAAATCAGTCAAGCTATTTCATTTCACTAGGGGTACCAGTCTCACTTAAGAAGACGTAGGGTCCCGACACAGTTATCAATGTCTTAGGGATACAACTAGATTCAGTGGCTATGGAAGCCAATCTTCCCCAGGGGAAAATCACGAGCATTCTCCACGACATCAATCATTACAGACATACCGGCTCATGTAACCGGAAAGAATTACAATCCCTGCTAGGCTCACTAAACTTTGCAATGAGAATCATCCCACAAATAGAGCATTCATTTCCAGACTGTTGAGTCTAGTACCCATTTTTGCAACCAAAGTTGCATCTCCCTCAAAGCCCAAGCCAAAGCAGATCTTCTTATATGGAACATGTTTCTCTCGGAATGGAACGGGAGAAGCATGTTTCTCCCACATTTGTCTATACACTCCCCCGTCATTTGGATGGATGCAGCAGTTACCACAGGTTACGCAGCCATTTTTGGCACCGAATAGCTCTGGGGTAGATGGCCTGAGGAGGTACAAGATATAGAGGGGTTCTACAAGAACTCAGCGCTTTTCAAAGTCTACCCCATTGTAGCCACGGCAGTAGCATGGGGTCATTTGTGGTCAGGCAAAACAAATACAATGCTTTTCAGACAATCAGGCAATTTGCCACGTTATTAACAAAGGCCGCTCGGATTCTTTGATAATAATGAAGTTCATCAGGAGACTGACATGGCTGGCAGCCTGCAATCAGTTTTACTTAGTGTGCTGCCATGTCTCAGGTATTTTAAATACTGCTTGTGATCAATTTGTCTCGCTTTCAATTTCAAGCTTTCCTAGAATCCCTACCCACTGCCTCACATCTGGCCACAACAGTTCCCCTACTCCAAGAACTAATTATGGACTAGGCATGTTATTACACCATAGCCAGACTCTGACAAAACTGCCCCTATCTGCCAACATTCATACTACCTATGACAGGGCATTTTCCTTATATAGGAAATTTATGGTGGACCATCAACTAGATAACATGTTTGATATGACCTCCCTGGTGGCATTCCAGGTTATCACACAACACAATTAAGTTATACCTGATAGACATCCAACACCATATGTACACCGCCTTCCCCAATAACTCTATTTTCCTCTCCTTATACCCCACCAAGACCATACTTAAGAGCATAGCCAAGGCTGACGGTCCTAACCCACAAAAAAGGCTACCTATCAACAAACAGTTATTCAAAGACATGTCCGAGGTACTAGATTCAACCCTGTTTGAACCCCAGACTAACTCAGTCATTAAGGAAGGCATATAGCTAGCCTTTTATGGCTTCCTGAGACCAAGGGAGTTCACCATAAGTAGACAACATAACGCACAACCCTATCTCTACGTCTCATATTTAAGGTAACACCTAGATCATTACATATTCACTATGCCAGTGACCAAAACGAGCCAGCTAGGCCAGCCTGTCCACATTCCTTATTACCCCACGAACAATTCTTGGTGCCCAGTTAAAGTTTTCAATTCTTAACTTCTCACCCTACAAAATCATGCCTCACAGTCACTTCTGTCACTGCACGGGGCTAGCCTCACCACGTCCAAATTCATGTTTTTCGTCCGCTTATTGTTAATGAGACTCGGCCTGAACCCTAGCATTTATTCAGGACACTCATTTAAAATAGGGGCCACATCTACAACATCCAGCCAGAATGTTCCAGTCCATGTCATTAAATTGCTGGGCCACTGGAAGTCATCATCTTATATAACCTACATTCCTCAACCAATACAAGAGATGCCTAAAGCCTTTGAGAAAATTTCCTCTTAAAGTACTTAGGTTGCATTATGTGTATTTATCAATAAATGTGTTTAAGCAAGGATGTGTTACTTTTTTCCCACTTTATTTACTGGCCTCCAGCATACGTCGCTTTTAGCACACTTCAACCAACTTTTTCATATTAAGGTTATTAACAATCTTACCTGAATCATAACTGGTGTACCCACGAACACAAATTGGAAGGCAGGGCCTGGAGTTGTGGGAGGGGCTTGTGGGAGGGGCTTGTGGACCTTTAAAAGGGACTCCCCCCTTCCTTACCTCATTGTAATTGGTCCTACCTTTAATATATGTAGGCCCACTTTATTTACTGGCCTACAGCATACGTCGGTTTCGGCACACTTCAACCGACTTTTTCATATAAAGGTTATTAACAATTTTACCTGAATATTAACCAGTGTAGACCTGAACACAAATATATATATATATACATTATATATTTGTGTATGGGGCTACACTGGTTATGATTCAGGTAACATTGTAAAAACATGTATTCCTGACCCTACTGGGTTAGAACCTGACCCTACAGGGCTAGAACCACCATCTAGCCCCCCTGGTCCCCTCATGGCTCCCTAAACATAGTAAAAACCTACTTGTATTCAAGTCTGAAGCTGCTGGCTCTGTCCCTGTTTCCTTTAGACCTGCCCACTGCCTGGTGACATCATCAGAAGTTGTAGCCTGATCCAATCACAATGCTTCCCCATAGGATTGGCTGAGACTGACAAAGAGGCAGATCAGGGGCAGAGCCAGCACAATTCAAACACAGCCCTAGTCAATCCGCATCTCCTCATAGAGATGAATGGAATCAATGAATCTCTATGAGGAAAGTTTAGTGTCTGCATGCAGAGGGAGGAGATACTGAATGTTTGGATGCATTTTAGGCAGCCATGACCCATGAAGGATCTCTAACAGCTATCTGAGAGTGGCCAGTGAAGTTATCACTAGGCTGTAATGTAAACACTGCATTTTCTCTGAAAAGACGGTGTTTACAGCAAAAAGCATGAAGGTAATGATTCTACTCACCAGAACAAATTCAATAAGCTGTAGTTGTTCTGGTGACTATAGTGTCCCTTAAATAACCTTAAAGGACCACTATAGGCACCCAGACCACTTCAGCTTAATGAAGTGGTCTGGGTGCCCTTTTTAAAATCCTTTTTTCTATAAACATAGCAGTTTCAGAGAAACTGCTATGTTTATATTAGGGTTAATCCAGCCTCTAGTGGCTGTCTCATTGACAGCCGCTAGAGGCGCTTCCACGCTTCTCACTGTGAAAATCACAGTGAGAAGACACCAGCGTCCATAGGAAAGCATTCCTATGAGACTGGCCGAATGCGCACGCGGCTCTTGCCGCGCATGCGTATTCAGCCGAGGAGAGGAGGCGGAGAGGAGGAGGAGAGCTCCCCACCCGGCGCTGGAGAAAGAGGTAAGTTTAACCCCTTCCACCCCCTAGAGCCCGGCGGGAGGGGGACCCTGAGGGTGGGGGCACCCTCAGGGCACTATAGTGCCAGGAAAACGAGTATGTTTTCCTGGCACTATAGTGGTCCTTTAATATGAAAAAATTGAAAATGAAATTAGGTAAATGTACACATTTATTTTTAATTTGTTTATACACACACACACACACACACATACATTAAATGTGTACATTTACCTAATTTAATTTTTAATTTTGTCTGAATAGCAATCTATACACAAAATTGTTGTTTTGTTTTATGTTTATGTGCTATGCATTCCATGTTTCAAATAAATGTTATGCTTTTTCAAACAAAACTGCTTGGTGGGCTAATACAATGTTATCAATACTTTGCATCAATTTATCCTAATGTTTATTTGAAGAAGACATTCACATCCACATGTTTTGAGTCAAGTAATTTTCATTTTATGTTTTTGAATTGAAGAGTTTTAGCCCGTGAGTGAAACCAATGACAATTGTATGGTTTAATCCTTTCAAGATTTATTGTAAAACAAAGTGTAAAACCATTTGTCTCTATCCCTACATTTCTGTTGCTGCACTCTGGGTCCAAGAATAGCTTTTCTTTAAATGAGAATGAAAACTGAATTTAGTACATTGATCAATGTAATTGGACTTTGTTAAAATTTCAATTATTTTGCATAATGTGCATTACATTATTTTTCAATACACTGGATGGGCAAGAGAAAAGTTGAGTAGTGTGAATACATTAATTTAAAGATTAAAATCATAAAAAAGGGAACAGAAATATTTTAAGCAAGTATAATTTTGTTTGCAGAAAGTCTGTCTATAAATATGATTATGAAAAATCAATTTCATAATTCAATATAATCAAACTGTGAGACACATAAAAAAGTCGCAAGTGAGAATATTGATGATCATTTTTCTTCATTGATTTAAGCAACTCATTTTATCCCACTCCAGCAAACACAGTCTTAAATCTTAGCCTATTAATGTCAAAAGAGTACACGTCGGAACGTAAGGGCTGTACATTTTCAGAATGATTAATCATCAACAAAGTTTGGGAAGTAGAGTACAGAAATGATGAATGACAATGAATAGATAATCATAAAGTAAGATATGCATCTCCACATTTCTGGTAACAACAAAATGTTTCTTTCCAAAATATAATGCAAAGATGACCAGATCAGGAGCAGATATCTCACATCAAGTATTAGATACATGTCCAAAATATACACAATGACCAACTTAAACAACCTCAAGAAAGCTTACCAACAAAATTATGTCAGCCCATGGTTTTACACTTCCAAAACTTGGAAAAGCACCCACCCAGTGCCAAAACTTTTGCTCTATTTCCCAATGCTAAGATACTTGTAAAATTATCTGTGGATGATCTGAGCAAGATTTTACTTCAAAATATAGGGGACAATCAGGTGGGGTTTGTAAAGGCAAGACAAATTGCATACAATACAAGAAAAGTATTGGACATTGTACACTGCTTAAATGCTATTACAAAGGAGGGACTACTGTTTTACTTAGATTCCAAAAACGCATCTGACCAATTAGGCTGGTGTTTCTTAGAGGCAATCATGAATAGATTTGCATGTCCTAAACTATTTTTTTCAATGGTTAATTTGGTATACAGCAAACCTTCTGCTAAAATTATTAATGCAGGCTTCCTGCCTGACCCATTGCACCGGAGAAGGTGATTCCCCCTCAAGGCACAACAAGTCTGCAAGCACCTACTCACAATTTGCAATGTTTTGTGTTTCATCAGTATCTAGATGTGTTAATTTAGGATGACAAAAAAAAGTACAATAACTCTTAGCATGTTTGACCCAAACTTGAAAATTTGTATATTCTTTCTGACATGTTATTGTTTCTACATGTTCTAACCTATGCATGACAAAAATAAAGAATATGAAAAAAAAAAATGATTGTAAGGTGTTTAAATAAAGACAACGTTTTTATTTATATTTATATAGTTAATTGATTTAAAACTGAATTTTATCCCAGAATCCAAGAGAAATTTCACAGTGGAACAGACATCTACCATGAACAAAGTTTCCTTTTTTAGTCAATGAGTGCTCTAAAACATGCATTTTTTTTAAATATATTTTCTACTTGTAAGTATGTTTGTGACATTAGAAAGGTTGCCTATACTGTATATCATATCACCTTTTTATTCATTAATTAATATTTTATATCACTTGTTTCTAGGTAAAAGTCCAAGGGATGCTTCAGATCAAGCACTTGACTACATGAAAAACAAAGTACATGGGAGAGGTGGATTGATTGCTGTCAGTAAAACCGGAGAATGGGCTGCAAGGTTTACCACACAAAGGATGGCATGGGCAGGGATTGATGGAGAAATGTTATACTACGGCCTGAACCCTGGAGAACAATTTCAAGAATCATTACATAATGCGATATAAAGAAAAGCATAACAAGTTATATTGCAACAAAAATTAAACTATGCCTAACTTAAATACATCAACAATGTTTCTTGTGAAAATATGTTCATCCTTTAAGCACCAAGGTTGTTTGAGATGCGACCCGTTAGTGATCAAAGCCATTTAAAAAAAATATTTAAAAAATTTGCCATTTTTGCCTTGAGTTCATTCTACCACAATTTCCCCCTTTCTGTACAAGTTCACCCATACATGTTATATATATATAAAAAAAAAAAGTGAAATAGAGCTTTCTTTTGATACCCTACATGTATACATAACATAATATTAAATAGAATAAAATATAAAAAAAATAAAAAACTATTTTTAAAATAAACATTTCAGTCTTAATTTTAATAATTCGTATGCACCAAGTGCAACTAAAGAAAACTAACTCAAAATAGATCCACTAATTAGTCCTGATTGTTAAAATGCCCAATCTGTCTAGGACTAAAATGAATTAATTGAAGTTATAAAACAACTACTTTAAAGAGTGAATTACAGTTTTAAAGCTAAAACTTTGCAAAATTTGGCATGCTGAGCTGCAGCGTACCTACCACGGTCACAGGGATCGCAGCTGCAACCGGGCCCCACACTCCAAGGCCTTCCTGGTTCCCGGGTGTCTGGCAGGAGGGGGGGGGGGGTCTATGCTGCTCCCTTCCTGCCCATGTGTAGCATGGAGGAGCGGTCTGACAGGAAGAGCTCACTGTGAGAGCACTTCCTGTCAGACCGGGAACCACGGCAGAGAAGCAGGTTCAGAAGGAGGGGAGAGAGGTAGGGGATGAGACACATAACGGGGAGGGGGATGGAAGGCATCATACACATGGAAAGGAAGGGGTGATAGGGAAGAATGGGAGACATTAAGGGGAGGGAGGGGATGAGACACATGGAAGGGAGAGAGGGAAGAATGGGACATACAACATGTGTCCCATACCCTCCATGTGTCCCATACAACAGGGAGGGTATGGGACACATGGAGGTGAGGGGGATAGAAAGAGGGAGGAATTGGACACTGAGGGGAAGGGGGAGAGAGGGAGGAACGGGACACAGAGGGGAAGGGGAGAGAGGGGGCCCATAATCATAGGGCCACCCGATGCACTGTTTTAAGTGGCTCGGTCAGCATTGCGGCACTTTAAGAGTGCAATCAGACCCTGGTACAAATGGAGGGGCTGAGGGGGAGAGGGAATGGAACACATGAGGGGGCATGGGTACTGGAATGAGACATACAAAAAAGCTGGAGGTGGGAATGAGACATTGGAGGGGGGTGATGAAGACTCATGGGAGAGGGGCCTGATTTTCACACTGGGACCAGGTGGTTTCTAGTGACGCCTCTGATGCTGGGACTACAGCTTTTATAGTAGTCACAGAATCCAAAACCGCTACACAAAAGTATTTCTTTGTAGAAAGTACATCCACCAGGCAATGTAAGCAAGGACATTTTGACACTTTGTTTCTTCTTTGGGTTTTTTTCTACACATGTTTTGTTTTGAGGTAATTCGTAAAATATGCATGTCCTACTTCTGCAAACACTATATATGTGTATTCTGCAGCTGATCATATGTACAATGATATGCCACATGTATACTTTTTTTCACTGAACCTGCCTGTAATTCTACCTCTAATATTGTCTCTAAGCTAGCCCTTAAAACAAACCCTATTCCAACCCTTAAACCAACCCATAATCTTATAAAAAAATCCAACCTTCATCCTTCCCATAATCCACTCTAAATTCCTATCTATAATTCAACCCATAATAGAATGCATAATCCAACCCCTAATCCTACTTATAATTCAACCCTTAGAAGTCAGCACTGCAGCACTTTAAGAGACCAGGTCCTGTTGTGATGACGTCAAACTGGGAGGAAGTGAGCTGTCACTTCCTCCCAGCTAACAGAGCCATGAAGTTGGAAAAGGAGGAAAGCAACGCGTGGAAGGTGAAAGGGGAGGAGGGAGTCAGAGTGGGAGCTCTGACTCCCATCAGCCTTAGCCTGCCTCATAACTCCAGGGAAGTCACCCTCCTGTACCTAAAAGGCAGGAGAGTGAATACAAAAATGTACAGTTTGCATGTGTGTGTTTATCGGTGTCTGTATGTGTATCTGTATGTGTGTCTGTAGGGGTGTCTATATGTGTATCTGTATGTGTGTGTGCCTGTGTACTCGCATGTGTGTCAGAGTGTGTCTGTGTATCTATGTGTCATACTGTGTATGTGAGTGTATGTCATTCTGTGTGTCTGTGTATCTGCATGTGTATCATTATGTGTGTATCTGGATTAGTCATCAAACTTTGTTTTCTCCTTTATGTGTGACGTAATGTTATTCAATAAATAAAACTTTTTATTTTCATGTTTATACAGCACTTTACAGTAACTATAAGCAATTACCTTATCCTTGTAGAGAATCTGTACAATTGTTTTAAAATGTATATAAAATGAATGACCTATGGAATTCAAATCCCGTTTTCTTGCTTCAGGTCTTCTAGCTCAAAATAGAAGACACTGAAGTCTCTGAATGCAAACTGCAATATTAATAGATTATTATTTTTTGTTGTTGTCATCTGAATTCATTAAATTATTTTGTCTGTAATGTTTGGTATGGTATTATGAATTCACCTAATCACTCACAGCTAATGAATAATGTCCAAACTTGGTACGAGATGGCATGATAATTATTATTTTTGTTATTATTATTGGTATTTATATAGCGCCAACTAATTCCGCAGCGCTTTACAATATTATGAAAGGGGGGGATATTTACAATAAATTAGACAATTACACAGTGAAACATGAACAATAGGTAGATGAGGGCCCTGGTCAAACAAGCTTACTTACTGGAGATGGGGTACAAATATACAACAGGGCAGCAAGGGTGACAGCCACAAAACAAGGTGAAAAATAGCATAACTGGAGGAGAGAGTGAAGTGTGGCTCTTCAGAAGAGCAAGAGACAGATGTGGATAGGTATAGATAATTTACTATGGGAGTCCATAAGCATTTCTGAACAGATACGTTTTGAGGGACTTTTTATACAGTTGAAGACTAGGGGAGAGTCTGATGGGGGTAGGTAGGTTTTTCCAAAGGAAGGGAGCCACTGGCGAGAAGTCCAGCAAGTGCGAGTTAGCAATAAGGGTGGGAGCAGCGGACAGGAGGTGGTCACGGAAGAGCGGAGAGACCGAGAAGGGGCATATCTATAAATCAGTGAAGAAATGTAAGATGGGCTAGAGTTGGTTAGAACTTTATAGGTAAGGTTCATATTTTGAATTGACACCTATAGGATACAGGAAGCCAGTGTAAAGATTTACATAGGGGCGAGGTATGGGAGGAGCGATGGGTGAGAAAGATCAGCGCAAAAGATCAGCGCAAAGGTGAGGCTAGGATCAAAGATAACACCAAGACTACGAGCTTGCAAGGATGGACTGATGTAAGTACTGTTAACTTGCAGGGAAAGCGTAGGAGGAGGATCAGCATTATGAGGTGTGGGGGGGGAATAAGAAGCTCAGTTTTAGAGAGATTGAGTTTCAGAAAGCGGGAGGACATCCAGTCTGAGATTGAAGAAAGACAAGCAGTGACATGCTGTAGGACAGCAGGGAAGAGGTCAGGGGAAGAGAGATATATATGGGTGTCGTCGGTATACAGATGGTAATGGAATCCAAAGGAGTTAATGAGTTTGCCAAGAGAGGCAGTATAAAGAGAGAACAGAAGGGGACCAAGAACAGATCCTTGGGGGACTCCAACCAAGAGAGGACGAGAGCAGGTGGTGTTATTGCAAAAAGAGACACCTTAAAGGCAGCAGTGACACCTCTGGAGACAGTGTTAAAGGTGGCAGAAAGGTCAAGAAGGATTAGTATGGAGTAGTGTCCTTTGGATTCAGCTGTGATTAGGTCATTTGTAACTTTAATAAGAGCAGTCTCAGTAGATTGGAGGGGGTGAAAGCCAGATTGAAGAGGGAAGAGAGGAAAGGAGAAGCGCAGCCACCTCCTGTTCTGTAGCTGGGGAGAAGGCTTGTATGGTAGTGAAGGTATGGTCCAGGTATGGTTGTGAGAGGGAGGAGCAAAGGGGGAAGAATTATTTCCTTAGCTGTTTAATCTTGTCAGTAAAGTAGCATGCAAGGTTATTGGCTGAAAGGTTAGTTTCGGGGGTGGCTTGAGGTGGGCGAAGGAGAGAGTTGAAGGTATTAAAGAGATGCCTGGGATTGCGTGAGCATGAACTAATGATAGGGGAAAAGTAGGATTGTTTAGCAAGGGTGAGGGCTGTGCTGTATGAACACAATATGAATTTATAATGGAGGAAGTCTGACAAGGTGCAGGACTTCTACTTTACTTCTCTACTACTACTTTAGCATATCAGCTCAGATAGAACATAGAGCCCAACAGATCTAGGTAAGCATCAAATAATTTGAAAATGACACAACAATTTATCATAGTATGGCACTAGGAGACTGTGGGCACCATAACCCCAAAGGTGCACTGTAGTGGTGATGGTGCTTAGAGTGTCCCTTTAATAAGTATGTTTATTGTGGTAACATTTTTGTTGTCTACTACTTCTCGCCATATTTAATTTTTTTCTTTGCTACTATTTTTATTTTTACTTTTTTGTTTTAACATTCATTAACCATGACCAATAAATTATTTTGATTCATGTTAAACCCAATAAAAGGGGCTTATATGGTAATATAGGCATATGTGTGTGTTTATAATTTTTTTCCAGTTCTATATCCTCTATTTTATAATTCAGAGAAGAAAAGTACTGAATGCCTTTGGTCTATAGAGTGGGAGAGGTAGAGAGCAGAGTGTGGAATATGAGACTATATTTGGGAAAGAGTGGTTAAGTATGTTGCATATTAGATATGCTGAAAGGGACACTATAGTCACCTGAACAACCTTAACTTAATGAAGCAGTTTTTGTGTATAGAACATGCCCCTGCAGCCTCACTGCTCAATCCTCTGCCATTTAGGAGTTAAATCCCTTTGTTTATGTATCCTAGTCACACC